ATATATATATAATGAGCTATAAACATATTTACGATTTAAGAATCATATGATATTTAACAGACTAAAAGGTTGCAAACTTTCCGTTTTTCTTTTTTATCAATGATATGCAGTGCGTATGTTTTGTCTACCTTTTTTTGTTTCGCTTATGATAATTACTAGGTGCTATCGGGCACTTTTAGTTACGGGTTCCTTGCCGTTGTCGAATTTCGGGTTTGAAGATCAGTGCTCGCGTGCTTTGACTTCACTAGAAGGAGATTACGACTAAGCGGAATTTGATTTAACAGCTGAAAAGGACATTCAACCAAGTTGCCGGGCTCGCGACTGTTTATATAAATATGTAGAGTGGAAGTCGGCGTGTATATAATAATACCTTATAATAATATTATATGAGCATCCATTACATTCAATGAGAGTAATGATGCAGTACTGAGATCATAATAACAACACTAATAATAAATATATAGAACTGACAGTAAGGCGCTTAATAAATAATCGACCCGGCGGGTTCGGCCTTATGTATTGTATAAATAAATATCCATATAACTGCTAACTCATGTCATACAGTGAATTATTGCAGCATTGTATTGTATGTCGTTTGAAAATAGCGTACAGTATGTCAGTGTGAATTTGTGGGTTCTACTCATTCAGATGGCACGTCTGCCGTGTGAAGTACACTCAGGTGGCGCCTGTGTCATAAAAAGGTGAAATCCTTTCATATTTATCATTAATTATTTTTATTAAAGTTTTCCGAGGAAATACATGAAAGAAGTAGTTAAAAAGCATGGTAAAGGGATTGTTAACAATCAAAATTCGTTTCAGATATAGGTGAATGTATAAGTCGATAGTTTTTGGCAAACATTTCCAGGTTCATGTTTTCAAAATTTTACGATCTGTTTCTTTAAAAAACGGCTAAATTGAGACCAATTTTTTCTGTTTATATATGATCAAATGGTATATATTTTATACTTTATGCAGTCATGTAAGTTTATGCAATGAATGCGACAGTTTTATTTTAAAAACAAGTTAAACAGCGAAAGCTTAGTGTTCATGAAAAATCTATAAAATAGCTAACGTGCGCAAGTTCTTACTAGTCCATACACGTACTCGGACGACTTTAATGGATTATTTAATTAAGAATCATTTATACCGATTTATAAAAGAGAATAACACTCGAGTCCACAACTCAGATACGATTAACCTCAATATGCATATACAATAACAAACTTAACACCGCTGGTATACAATATTAGCTATTATCATGTAAAGACGTAAACATGCAGAGTAAATTTTATAAAACAAAAAAGTTCGCGTTTTTCTTTGGATGTGCCAATATAGTGCTATTTCTATTGCTACAGCATGAGGTTTTTGAGTCTCGTTTCGCTTTGAAATCATAGCACCTTATATTTAATGATTTAATATGATTCATTCATTGAATGCAAGAGGCATGCACGTGTTGGCGTAGTTGCAGATGACATTATACGCATTGATTGATAGCAAGTTTTTCGATCGGATTGCTGAAAAATAAAATTTCAAACATGGCTTCCCGAAATTGTGATTCAATTCAAATTGTGTTAGAATACCCCTGTGCCAGAAACGGTTATGATATATGATGTATGGTTTTAGCAGACCTTAACAACTTAGTTGAGCGTAATGAAGCGGTGCCCAACTAGACCTTTAAGGTACCCAAATCACAATTTTCTATATAGCTTTCTTTTTAAACTACCGAGATTCTTCTCTGTTAAAATCCATTAAACATATGGGATATATAAATCTATTTGCAATTCTACACTACTTCACACAGAATAGCTTAGTAAAAACAAACTATTTATCATTAATCAATTGAAACGCGGTTTACCGTTAATTATTTCGTATATGGACGAAATTACAAGAGATAATTACACTAAGACTTGAAATTAAAATATATATGTGCAGTTCATGGGTAACGTCACTGGTGTAAGCCCTACATTAAATTAAATAACAGTAAAAGTTAATACAGACTGATTTATTTTCTTATAATAGTTACATTGAATAATAAATGCTTATATAAAAAACGATGGAAAAAGCTGCGTCGGCCGGGAATCGAACCCGGGCCACCCGCGTGGCAGGCGAGTATTCTACCACTGAACCACCGACGCGCTGGAAAGTTGATGCAACCAGTAGCACAATATGACCAATGATGATCAACAAGTTAACAGGTGCGACTGCGTCTTCCTGATACGAAACAGCATAAAGTAAGCTGATACAATGTTTAATCAACCATACCGTGCGACAATTGCTACCTTGTGAAAGGTTTTCAAGACACTTAACGCAACAGATGTCGATTGTAAACATCTGTTACTAGGTGTTTCTAAAAGAAAGAATATTTTTGTATGTTTAATGTTTTGAGCTAGATCGACCCGAGCTGCTGGGAGGCCTATTTTATAATAACGCTGAATTGTGCAGCACAGACGTAACGAAAACAGTAGCTTCAAACACTGAATAATTAATTTAAATGTCGGCTTGTTACTTTGCAGAGAGCGATAGTTTTCTACAGTATTATATATCGCTTGCGGTAACGCCTTCACACATACATGCATGTTATATTTATATTCAACTTCAATAAATACGGCGCCATAGATATGTATCGATAAAGTAGTCTTGGACGAATAATTTATAATGAGCAATAAGCAACAGCATTATGAGATTCATGCTTGTGGGCAAAACTTGCATATTTAAGGTTCATTAGCCAGTATAAATCGGCGGAAAAACTGTTGATTATAAAGACAAGTGATTGTTAAGTGAATGTTAAAATGCCTTAAAATTGCCTATAATTTTGAGCAAGCCTTTCTAAGCAAAGTAAAATTGTTGACAACCTTGTGATTGCCTTAGCATAAAATATTTAAAGAAAAGAGAACTGTAAAAATACAATTTTAAATTATGGATTTACGGTAAGCTTTTCTCAATAAATAATAAGTATTTAAAACCATACCCGCAAGTATAGCACATGTATAGTTGAAAACTGTAGATTAACTGGTAACCTGTTTCAAAAACGATTCGTCGACGTCTATTTTTCACTGAACAAACAATTTTTATTAACTTATTTTTCTTTGATCGAGTAATATAAGTCTTTATATATTAGAAAGAAAGAAGAAGAAGATGATAGATTAAATTATTACTCCAGTTACTTCGTTACCAAAAATAGAACTGATCCTTTTTATTGTTATATTTTTGAGTATTAACGTTTCGTCCTCGTTCATTTCATTTGGTCTGTAGCAACCACCCATATTTATCTGCATGTACGTGCTAAGTGTATATGCGCACATGACTGTAATACGTAATTTTATTTTTGCATATAACACACATCATATATATATATATTGTGATGGAAGAAAAGCTGCTCATGTATATATGATTTACTTCCATCATGGTCAATGTTTTAGGAAAGCAAGAAATCACAGGGCTATATGTCGTTCTATATTCGTTTTTTACTACGTGCATTGACGTTTTTGATTAAGGCGGCTTCAGACCCAGTTATGGGTCCTATTGTCGCGTATTGTTATATAAGTCTATCGTGAGTTTGTTATCATTATACACACGATCTTCTTGTGGCATACGATGTCATAGTATCAGACTCGTTCAACTCGGTACAGACAGTCCTGCCGGCACATTCAGGTGTTTTGATCGCGATCGCCTTTTCGAAGGCACAGAAAATCAAACGCCCACAACCCATATCCCAAAATTTCACTTGTTTAGTAGTTGAAATAGCTAAGAAATATTATTTCATGTATAACTACTTGAGGTGAATTGGTAACCAATCTGATAATTTACATTTTTTTTTGCTTTAGAACTAATAGACCTTATCTACGGATACGATTTTCTTTGCGCTGCTTAATTAGCTTTGAATCAAGCCGATGCGGCGCACCTGGAATGATCCAATGGTGAGTCTACAAATTTTGCTTCTAAGTCATAGTAATTATTGCGGCGGTATAAATTAAAAAAATAATTATAGTAAGCTTCTCACAGGAAAGGGTAATCTGCATTTTAAGGAAGAAAGATGGTATCCTTAGCTATGATGATTTAAAGCTTTTGAAAAAAATATATATATATATATAATATAGGCTATAACGGTAGCACCCATGTTATGTGTGTGTAACCAATTTAGTATCCTTTTTCTCGTTCTTTACTTGCTCGCTCTCTCCTTCGATTGCTTTCTATTCACACGTCTGCTTTATTCTCGCTAACATTATCAGTACATCATATAACGAGGAAACAAATAATTTGCATATATATATATATATATATATTTGTCGCTACTACAACTGTCCCTGTTTTGGCAGAGTGACACTCCGACAGCCGTGCTTTCCAGTCATTTTGCTGCTGCCAACTATATTATACATATACATCCGAACAGCATACGAACTTTATTGGTTGACTCGCTGGACAAATTCACAAATAAACGGTATCATTTCTGGTTTATATTCGTATTTACTTGCTGCTTGGGCGTAATTTCAGACCACCTGTTTGACATTCCCCCTTGTCTGCAGACACTTGAGTACGATGTAATCTCTGTAAATTGCAAGGATATTGAACGATAAGGTTTGCACTGCCACTCATCAACAACGGTATATGCTGAACCGTTAGAGCACTGTCCATTATTACTTTAAAGTCATACTAATCCTGACTGGAAACGAATCTTTTAGCGATTATTATTCACAGTTTTCGCTTTAATTTAACTCTCGTATGGACTATGGAAAGCTGAAAAGTAACTTTTATTTTATGCAATGTAGCACGAAGACGATTGCTTGAAAGATTCGCTCGCTTTTATGTACTGATGACAATTGCCTATTGTTTTGTTCTAAATTGTTCATAAATTTAGTAACACTTCAAGCAGAATGCGGTCTTGATTCTTGTTTTTTTTTTTTCTAGGATTGATTCAAGTTGTCAAATGCACGCAGTTGATTGATGGTCAGCTTTGCCTATTGACGTATTGTTCAAATTTCGTTTTCCTTGCTTTTCATTATCTGGCCTCTCTGTGCATTGTTGTGTAGCTGAGGGTCTGCATGAAGCAGTCACAACAACATGTGACAGGAATAGTGTGTAATCTTTATTTGGCATAAATAAAAATACTCCGAAGAGAAATTAGCGTGACGGGTTATACCATTTCTCTCGCTCGCTTCCGCTTCTTTTCTCTACCTACAAACCCAATCCATTCCAGAAAATAGCGCCTCCGCATTTCGTGCCCGTGTTGTATTCGTGCTATTCAAGGTTTTAATTTTTACAAAATTAGTTCCATTCCGCGCTACATCATCCTCTGGTAGAATACAGGTACAACTTAGATACTTGTGTATTTTCTGTGAACATAACAACTGTATGTTTTCATGTTGCAGTACTCTGATTTGTTTAATCTATGCCCACATTCATTAGGTCATTGCGCTGCACTTTTCTTTCTTTCTTCTAAGAATTCCCCTTTTTGCCCAAAAAAATCCACCCTTTTTAAATTCACCGTCTTGTAGACGACTGTTTTTTTCTCACTAAGTAGACACCCAAAACATAATTTTATTTAATCTATGATAATTGTTCATCATACAACAATAGTAAATTAAGTTACGTTCCTATCAAAATCTATGAAAAACCTTTATCTTCACCACCACGGTCCTCTGATAACCAGTGTTAGAGCTCATTACTGCTATACATTGGAAAAGTCACGTAAAACCTCATATGCGCCCAGAACCCACTGTACCCAAGGCTCCTTGGTCGTACTTGACTATTTTTCCTGTAAATCGGCTTACTCTTTTCATAGCGTATACATCCTTGACCAGGTTCCTTTCAGCCCTTTCCGGCCACTTTTTTAACACATTAAAAAAGATGAAAACAGCGATTGTCGCATTCGGCGTTTTGTTCAACCTTAGTTCAATCGTAGCTCAAGAAAATTGCCTTGAGAAAGTACAAATAACAGGCCTACTTTAATGTCTAATTGCTTGTTCTATATATACTAAGCAAGAACCAATTAATAAAGCAAATGCCTTCCACAGCCAACAGCTGCAACTGTGCTCGTTTTCGTTATGCTTCGCTCAGCTGATTCTTGTTTTTTTTTTTCGGGGTTCATTGATTATTGATTCACCATGCCTCTACCGCCATGTATACAATTGTCTATATATACATATATATATATATATATATATATATATATATATATATATATATATATCACATGTAGTTACTGCGCGCACGCTTTCTTGCAGTGACAGTATGTTAACTTATTATCATAATCTGTCCATTCATTTCTATTAGTTTTCCTATTTTATTCGATTTCACCCCATTTCTTCTGTAAATCTTCAATTGCACCCTCGCTAGCCAGACAGAGGTTGAAGATCTACCCTGACTCGTTCCCCTCGACTTAGCAGGCCTACAGTTGGGAAGAAGCCTTCTTGGGGAAGCGGCATCTCTTTGGTGCAAACAATCTGTCCATTTCGGGTGAAAAAAACTTTAACACGGACGCCACAATCGAGCTGTTCATGTGGAACGTAATCATCGAGCTCGACGCGAGACTGAGCCCACAATTCGACGTTCGCTGAGTTTGCTGCCGCGCTTGCAGCTACCTGGAGCTGCCGATGTATTCGGTATCTTTGGTTGTCACCACGCCGGCGGTACTGCATTAAAAGGCGGCTGAGGATGTCAAAAATAAAAGCAAAGATATTGTAGAGGATAAGAGGATAAATCACGTGATTAACAAGCTGTTTTAACTAGACAAACAGACAGTACACGACGGTGAATTTACCACAGACGCACGAAATAATGAATAATCAAATTTGAGAACAAAATCACAAACCGACCCATTGTGCATTTCTTTGTAGCGGCTGATTGGACTTTCATCACTTCCGCGACCACATTCACGGCCGCCTTCGCCCGGGCTGATTGCCACAGCGGCTGCTGCAGCGTTTTCATCGAGCGCTGCTTGCCGTGTCTCTTCTAAATTGGAGGGAAACAGAATTCCACAACCCATTCGGTCGCCTTGTCTACACATCGGCGCACGTTCTCCGCCAGTTCCATTTTCTGAAATATACAAACGTACGCATTTACTATAGTCTTAGCACGTTACCAAAGCGCACTGAAATACGTACGCTAGCTCTTCGATAACGTATATTCGATTAATTCGGCCTATTAACAATGGGGGGACGCCATGATTTTGGCTATGAACACAGCAGAGCAAGCTTCCAACGTTCGTAGATTTGTAGACTGTAAAGTCTGCTGGTATCGTCTTCACATGCTGTCTATAAGCAATTTGCTTAAGCAAAGTGTCGGCAAAGGCTTAATCTAGAGTTAACTTTAGCTAAGGTCGACAAAATAAGGAATAAGACCTTAGAAAAGTTCTACAAAAGCGGCTACAAGCAAATATGCACAACGCATACCAACAAAGACCTCTCCGTCATCTGCATGATAGGCTATGGACCCTTTGCTCCATCCAGGGTGTTGTTTGCATGAATAATGACGATGTGCTATTCCTATGGCGATATAACAGCTTTCGCCGGGGTCGAGGATCTCCAATTCAAAATAGTGCGCGCTAGGTGTTAGGGGTTGCGCGGCCTGCGCAAAGCCTACGCCGTTATTCGATAAACCTGAACCGGCATACTCGATTATCTGAAAAATTAAAAAATGCAATACCGATTTGTTTTAGGCAGTTAAATTTCCCTCTGTGCTGTGAGCTTTTTCATTCGTTTCATAATCTATAAATTTTGCATAGAAATTGAAGCTGACATTAATGCGATCGAATTCTACTACTCGACGGATTCCGTCGTGCTTTAAGTGGAAATTCGAATTAATCCATTCAGCACTAATAAGGGCGAACAAGCAAGCCTTTTTTGTTTTGACGTGTTATGTGACAGTAACTGACCAATGTAAGACATCTAGGAATCTAGTAGTATAATTCAAATATCGATGCAGATCCAACATTATTTACGTCAAAAATTAACGGTCTTAAATAAATGCTGGCTAGTTCACCTATGCTATTACAATGCCATAATAACGTCTACGGTGTCTTGTAACTTTGAGTCGCATCTTTCGCGCTACATTATTAAAAATTATCAAAGATTTTACAACTTTTTACTTTTAAAAAGTTATAAAATTTTTGATACTTTTTTTTTTTACTTACATCTCCATTAAGTCGGACATTGCTGAGTCTATCCCAGAAGTCATCAAAATGGTCGCACTGCATTTCCTCGCCGTCTTCACGTGGTCGCGGCGGCCACGAAGCGTCCAGTCGAAATCGAACTCTTTCTCCCGGTTGGTTCAGGCTTACTGCAGGCACAAATCGTTGCCCAAATAGGATGACCTCCCGAGAACCTGTCAGAACAAAAAATGAATATGACTATTAAATGTGTTCAATCAAGGTTTTTAAATTATAAATAAGGTACATTTTGAGAGATTTTCCTTTTGTGAATTGAATGACAATACTGTTACTTAACTGTATTGCTAATTTCGTGTCACTTCATTCTATCATAATCAGCCACTAGCAATAGCTATAGCATACCAGATCCCTGCGGTAACTATGCATAAGAGACGACGGTACTAGGCAAAACAATCGTACCAAACTCTCGCCCGTTATAGGTGAAAAAAACGGAAACGTTGTTTTTGAGTTCTGAAAAGCCGGGTCCGAAGTGCATGCCAATACCAATGACGTCTCGGTTATGGCATCGCGGCCCGAAGTGTGAAGGTGCCGATGAGCTCTGTAGAAGACTGCAATTGAAGTAGACAAAAAAAAAGACATTGATCGTATGTGACGAAGGAAAAAATGATAATATTATAAGTTACACGGTGGAACTATATCACAGGAAACAATATTACTCACTTTGAACATTTCAATTTTATGGAATACCTCCAAACCTAGTTTACTTAATGTCTCTTAATTAAACACGTAAATATCAAGTAATACGTCAATCGAGACTGGAATCGATTTTTTCTGTGCTGTGCTATTTTCGCCATATTCTGTGAACTGCATGAACAACTGATACAAGCCGGTCTATGCCTATCGAACTGTAAGAAACACCACGTTTTAAGCACCGTTATTTAACCTTTATATATTTGTGATATATACTGATATCACGCTTTGAGTTGAAACCTCGAAATCAACAATCTAGCATTTCTAACAGATAATTTCCCTTTAACGACATAATTGCGGATCTTTATTCCACATTTTAGGTCGCTTTTTTCCAAAGCAAAATATAATACTCATAATTACTAGATTCTGCAAACTAATTACTGCGTATTAAATTCAACTTTAGCAATAGACAAAAGTTAAAAAAGCCATAGGCACTTGGTTCAGTTATACTATTTACTTACAGTCCACCGTTTAGATTGAGTCCGATTGAATTCTTCGTTGAACCAACGGGACTTGCTGTGGCTATACGTTGACACGCTTCGTATGGCATGAGGCCAATCACGATCTGGCCACCCTTCACCATGTTGACCACCTCGACTTCGAAGTAACATCTTCCCCCTGGATGTAACGTTTCATGAAAGCGATAAACGGCCGTGCCCACCGGCCTCTCGGGGAGATAGCTACACCGTGGCGAGTGATATTATAATGGGAATAAACAAGATAATAGAAGCAATAACACAACTGTTGAATACGCGTTAGGCATCTGCAGTGGCTGACCACGAAGCGCAACGACTGCCACCAGCCTACAACTCTACATGCTTAATGAAGTTGAATATTCATCAAACGATGGCACTTACAAGTTAACTTACATACAATAATATTTTTTACATAATTATTCCTATATTCTATATTGGGCTGCTGCGATCGCTAATTTAAGCGTATGTACCTGACAAGATTGTCTTCCCCGACCGCTATCTTCACGGCGTTGACATCACCCACCGCAATGAGTCGTTCGACTTTCGGAGGCAGGTGAAGATTTGGATACGGAGCTCTTTCCATTTTTATCGACGAGTACTCCTGGAAATGGCGGTGCAAATCCCCAGGAATGGAAGTAGTGCCAGGAGTGGCGGAAGTCTCAAAAGACCAAAAGGCAGCCGAATGAAGACCGAAATGAAGAGAATGCTTGGACGGTCCAGCGATGGCTTCGAACGCAGGCGGCAACCTTCTTGAAAACTGGACCCCGTTAGAGCCTCCCTCAAGTCCGAAAAACACGTCTTTAGGTAGATCGAGGTTATTATTTCGATTGTCGTTATCGTGTCCTCTGGGCGGATGATCGTCAACTAACAGGTTGTTTTGTTGCTGCAGGTTTAACACAACCTCACGGAATTCGTCCAATAACTGATGCTGCCGTCGGATTAAGTCGTCGAAGGTCGGCACCGAGTCGCTGCTTAAGCGGTTGTGCTGACGTTGTTATCCGCCCGCTATCAATATCATAAACAATGTCGACTAATGGGAACCGAGATGCTCCGATCGTGAGGATGGCGAGAGCGATGTGATGACAGTGCAACAAAATAGTTCTACAGGAAATCACTAGGGATAAGTACACAAGAAAACGTAACGGAATGCAAAAAGCAACGACAGTGGATAGTACAAAATGTTAAATCGAGTGGGATACCGATGTAAAACAATGCAAATGTCTAAAACGGGAATGCAGTACGTTGCGCGAATAACTTCGGAAAGTTTGGGATTGGAGAGAAGAGATGCAGAAAGATACAGCTTATCGCAATTAGATTCGGCAGACTTAGCTGAGTCCTGAAGAAAGCCACTAGCTCCTCCGCATAGCGAACACGCATCAGAAGGCAGACATGGAGAATATAGGATAAATTATGGTTGTGATCATAACGATGGCGAAAAACCCAAAGATTAATTTTAAAAATATCGTTTTAAGCACATAGTGGTGATTGTATCTATAACAAGATTTATAACATTTGTTTATGTGTATATATATATGTGTGTGTCTTTACTCCACGTAATGAATCGATTATGCTGAAATAAGTTAGAGACAAACCTAACTGTGAGTGTGAAAATTGAATTTGGCGCAGATATTATTTACTGCGCCCATTAATTATCTATGAAATAAGCTAAAGTGAATTCACAAAAAACGCATTATCTAATAAAAACAATGTAAAAATGTGATTTGATCAAATATTATTTGCATTCACTGGTGAGAAAATTTTACTCTATTATATGGTGAGGAAAATTTACTTTAAATTTTTACCACCACTAAATAAACACATTTGGCAACTTTTTCGTTCTCTTTTAAGGGCAACTTCTTAAAGAAAGCAGTGGACAAGCACATCAGTCTAGTTTTCGGTGTAATTTGTTTTTACAAACGATTTATATGTAAAAACTTTATGGACAATTTAATGATTTTTATATAACTGTCGAATTTATCTTCAAAGTCCCACGAAATATTTGTCATTCGTCGGAGCTCTAAGGGATATCCAGTTTACCCGTATGCTTATATCATCCATGTATACTCAGGTACCTCATTAAATAATATAGACCTTAACAAGGTTTATAGAAAAGCGCACTCGAAAGAGGTCAATTGTAAGTTGAATAATTTTTCCACTTAAGCAGTTCAGCAAATGCGTCTTTATGCGAGGAAAAAGTGTACATTCATTTGAATTCCATGTGTTCATCTACATGATTATTCAAGTATCCTTAAAGGTTCTGTCAAATTAGCAAGCAATCTTAATGACAATTCTGACAAGCGACAACAAGGTTCCTGCATATATAATCATACATAATGATTCGGTACGCGTTAGAAGAAGGGCGAATATTTATTTTTTTTTCCAGAATTGCCAACAACGTAGTGAAACATTACGGAGCCTGAGCGGCATAGTCTCTCCGCGGGTATAGAAGTTCCACAAATCTCAACGACTTGACGGAAATCAGAAACACACAACGTAAAGTCCTTCAGAGTAGTCAAAGGTTGCATGCTTATGGTCGACTGCCCCACGCTTGTCATTATTGTATAACACCGTCACTGTGTTACTTCATCATGAGCTACCCTCTGGCGCTAACGAATACATATATACATATATTAAATTTAATTAATGTAAAAATCATCATCAGCAGCTAAAGAGCATTTTCACAAATAAAAAAAATTGTTTTCCTAAAGAATGGCCTTTGTGATATGTGGCTCGCAAAAATAATCAACGCTAAAAAATAGCTGTGCCCTTTCAGGGGCGACTGTATGCTTAAATTGTGAGGTACTTGGCAATACAGATTTTTCTAGCTGACGCAATCTCAAATCAGATCATTGAAATCCTGTGCAATTTTATTCCGGCATATACTCGAGTTGTTTATAGGGTGTTGGAGAAAAGTTTATAATTTAGCATAATATTTGTTAAGTTCCAGTATTTCAATAGAGCGTTAAGCTCAATTTCCGCTTATAACATAGATGTCAAGGACAGCCAATTCAAATATCCAAGTTGACCTTCTTGATACTGGAAGTACAGTAAAGGATGTATTGCATTTTCTTGGTATATTTATGTTCTAACGGGTTTCCTTTCACGGAAAAATCTACCTTTTACAGCAATATCTTTTAATACACGTGTATAAGGCTATGAAAATCGTGTTTCTTAGTAAGCATATGGAATATCAATGCTACCGTAGACACGATGGCTACTTCTAACACATAGTAATACAAAACCGTACCTAAAAATAGCCTCGACGATTGTTCGACTGACTTTGCTATGAAATGGTGACAAACCGAAGGCACTACAACGACAGGCGATTAGTGCTGATTATACGTGAGTCAGTGTCGTTAACACTCAACAAAGAGAACAGTACAGCCGTCGAAAGTGCCTACCTCAGTAATCGCCAGATCCCAGTGACCCAGTGAGACAGCGGATTGGAACCACGTGCGGCATTACTTTTGCATTCCTCAAACCTTCAATCGAATTTTGACTATCCTTTCGTTCTTCCCATCGATATTGTTTGACACTCCCAAATATCAAAATTTTATTGAATCGAATATTGAAGTCCATGCGTCGTTCCTGAGTGCTATTTCGTATAATAAATAAGAGTGGCCAAGCGGAGTAGAGAAAATAGAGAAATTTTGTTAGCTGATGCCACATAATAATAGTTTAGTATATAGTGCTGTGAGCATCACTCTATTGTATTGTAAAAATGCTCTAAAATAGTGATATTTACTTATCTCCTAGTAATGGTTTTGAATTCCTTCCGTAAAATAAATTACGTACATTTTCCGTTTTCCGACAATTTTTATTTTTTTTTTTACAAGCTCTTTTCTTTGCGCCCGATATGTAGTATTGAATTTTTTTAACTCTTTCCTTTTAATAAATTATAAAAAAACGAGGTTTATCTATATATATAAGTGGCTTTACAAATTGACGTGTTACTATTCAAACGGCAAAGTCCATTCACAAAACTCTAGGAAACGTCGATTAGCCGATCATTCAAAATAGGCTACAGTCAACACCTGCGACCAGACATGTATATCTTTCTAACGCTCTTAATTAGCAAAAATAGCGTATTTTATATTAAATCTAGCCGACAATTTGTCCGCTATGTTTTTCACGAAAATCCAACATACTGGCAAGCATTTCGAAAAAACCTGCTTTTGTCATACATCAAAAAACATTCGTTATTGAAGTTGTCTTCTTATCATTTTTGAGGACGCGCAAAACGTGTCCCAGCGACGGCCAAGCGAACAGGATCGGTTCACTCATTATCTGAGGAGTTTTGTGACAAAATTGTCCTTTTCTCTACCTACCGCCCAACTACGACGCCGCCCGCATCGGGTTTATCGGTGGACACTGCTGCACGTTAGAGTTACCCGGCTGAGAAAACTGTTGCTGGCATCGACCGTGGTAAGCAGTCCGTAGGTGGCCGTGTCGGCAAAAACCAATGATATAATCGCGGCGCTACAAGGCCACGCAAATATATTCCACCGGTCTACGAAGTATGATGCATCCACCTAATTTGCTTATATAAGCAAGTAAGCACAAAATGGTGGGACAGAGTCCACATGCCAGCTACGAGTACTTTCCACCAAACACCGAACGGCACCCGACCTATTATATTATATATTATTATATTATAGAATAGACACATACGTTGACCAGAGATTTTTGACTGATTAATCTATGCAGATATCACACTATATTATATACTAACTAAATTCGTTTATCAAACAGCGGCGGGAGCTCACTCGCCTATTGCAACAAACAAATTTGACCACAGCATTGTATAGGGCACCTCGAAAAAATTCTGTTCTTTGTTATCGGTATAGGTGTATAATAGAAAATGGGAAGAAGTTTATACGATCGTGATCGTCATCATAATCCAAGAAATGTGAAAGTTGCAAGGCTATAATAGTTCAGTCCACCAGTTCAGACTAGATTGAGAATTGTCATACTCAAATACTGAATGCTTTCAATAAATAATGATTCAAGTGATGAAGCTTAGACAATATCAATGAGAATATCAGAGGACTAGACATTCGTATACTGTGATTATTCCTGTACAAACGGCACTCACGTTTCATTGCTATGCGCCCTTTAAAGCGCCCCTATGTATCTTAAGTAAAATTAAAATTAAATCGAGTAAGGAAGCTGCTCTTAAAAGCTACAGCATTTTCACTAGCTATAAATGCCTTCAAATACTGGATCTCTTATGGTATTTATCATCAACTGGGCCGACTGGAGGTAGTCGCGCAGTTTCCGCTGCATAAATTCATGTCTTAATCGATTTGAACCGTCACCTCGCCAGAGCTAATTGTACCCCACGAGTGAAACACTATATACCATGTAAAGGGAAGGAACTAGAACCACAGTTACAATAGTTGTTAAATCTGTCATGGCTGTCGGCGCAAAAATCTAACCATTGTTTGATCCTTTTTTTCTATTACCACCACGCGTATCTACCCATTTTGATTAATAACATTAAATGCGTTGCCATTATGTATCCTTGTAAGATTACTAATGTGACCAAATTGACACCAGCGCATACGGTAAACGAATGAAGATCACAACGTTTCCAGCAGTCAAAGCATATATTTAACTCAGGAACTATAGAGATGCACATACGTGCAAGGCATATATATAATGACAAAACGCCTATATTACGATCTCACTCCTTGGTGGTTTCGCCTTGTCAGATTGTTCAACTTTGAACTTACAGCTATGGATCAGTAGCTAACTATTCAATTGGCCGCATCGTGTCAACTTGCATGGCGAAACAACTGGAACAATGGCCAGTCGATTTAGAGAGATCTCGTCATCATTGCCTATGGCATTCTCGCTGTGTTGCCACCTACATATATTTCTCGGCGTGTGAAACCTTTCTATATCTTTGTGCAGAGCTCGACAGTCACAATGGCAACAATATTCATAGTAGGAAACAAACACTACAACCAAAGCCCAACTGGATTGAACCAGAATCGCCGGTGACGTTCTGGCCACGGTCATCATCGCCAGGATCGACGTGTCGCCAAGCGATCGCTTTTGCTTGATTTCTTTCATGCGCGCCCTTCGGGAGGGTTTATTATCCTTGCCGATGTTACCAAGACCGTTTTATATCGGCATTAACATCGTGACAGAACAAACGTAAGGATTGCTCGAGGCTGCACTCTATTCCACGACTGTCACAATACCAACATAGTGTCTCACAACAGTACAGCGCATCGGCATTCTCACTCTATTAGTCAATAGAAAGGACCACTGTCGACTCAGCTGTCCTCTTCAGTGAGTTGGGTCTCCACTATCATATATTGCTGATGTCGCTGAGCCTCGCTTAGGTCACGTGGCCACATCTCCAGGATAATGTAGTGACAACGTCTTTTTTTACTAAATTTAAGAACTGAATGTGGGTGGTGATCTAGGTTCACACACACTTCATTTTGTGTTGAGAGTCAGCCTATTCCAAGACTATTCTACCAAAATAATTTTAATGCCGCTGCTACTGCTGCAACGCAATTCGCCCTAGGCAAAAATGCAGTATCGGCCAATCGTTATTTGATCAGCTGATAGACACTCACATCGATACAGTCCGATCAACGTGAGGTTACTCAACTGCCTGTATACGGGAGCTCCGTTGCCAGCCGCGACAAATTTAGACGTTAACAATAACATAACAGCAACGGCAATAGCTCTTTGTATATTTGGGGCAAATACGGGGCGGCGAAAGACAACACTACAAATCAAATGATGCGATATGTATTGTGTGGTGTACACGGTCTGCATGGAAGGACACAATGTATTCTTATGTTTTAGAAAATTCCCGTGAAACATCTATCGGTGAACTGTCTGTGCGACGCATTCAAGGGTTACGCACAGTCGTGGCAGCGCGCACGAAAACAAGTACATGCAATCACGAATAGATCAACCCCAAGCCGAACCCCAAGCTAGGCAGGTACCCGTGTTGACCGGCAAACCGATTGACGACAAGAAACAACTGCTCGGAATAAATCGTAAATAATATTTGCATTCGGTTAGGAATATAATTAGCAATAACGTTATGAAACATTATTATAACGTTGTTTTCCTTAATTTATTTCAATTTTTGGTCTCGGTCTGTCTGTTTGCGCAAAATAGCTTATCCTGGTACGGATTATGTGGCAGTAATAATAGGATAGCAATTGAGAAAGCTCAAACAGCAAGGTACCGTCGGTTGGAATCCTTTAAATCTATCTGTATATTATGTACATTATTTTTTTATTTTTGTAAATGCATATTAGTTAGATTAGAGTATGTTTAGCCGCACAACTGTTGTTTTATAGCGAAAATATATGAACAATATCTTACCGAACCGAAAAACAACAAACAAGCTAGAACTTTCTGTGAACTAAGAAGCAACTTCTAAACACTGCTTTACTGAACTTCGAATTACACTAATTCCTGAGGTTAGTCTTTATATATTTTTAATTAAAAATCAGTATTTCACCTAGCACGAAACTGTGTGAAAAGAAAATAACTGAATTGGAAGGGGTTCCAGATTGTCTCAGCTGTCCCTGAAAAACTCGAAATTCACGATGAAAGACGTCTTCATTCATTAAGGTTTCACTGGCCTACTCCGATTTATGGTAAAACCCCGTCGTACTTAAAGTATCCATGCCCTTGTTACCTTTCGGATCAAAAACAGTCTCGTATCATTCGTTTACTAATCACCGCCAACACAATCGTACTGACCGAACGTCGAAACAACACAGTAGCAATGGCTTCCAATTCAGCCGGCCCAGAATGGACGGTGGTGACAGATAATAATTACGCTACCTTGACAGAAATATTATTGTTCTCACGAGAAAGATCACTGATATCGTTTTGCCCAATCACTTAACCACCCATTCACTCACTGCGCGTAACAATGCCGCCTAAATTTTCAAAAAAAAAAATGACCAGAGACTCTAGCAAAATGAAGGCAGTGTTAATGTCGACTTCACTAACTAAACTCTTTGAGAATTCTTTTTGAGAGCTCATTAACAATGGCTGATGCCAACAAGGTGGCATTGCTGGCAGGCATACGAGCGCATTCAATATCAAATAGCGAGACCCAAGTCTGACTAGGACATGCCTGGCTTTGCAAGCCCGAGAGACCGAATGGTCCTCGAACAGCCACGTGTTTTTCGGAATAGGCCTGTTGATATGCGTGAAATCACGTTGTAGTGCTTTCATTGTAATAGTCGACCAGACGAGTCATTCGAAACAGTCTGATATACATTTATCACAAACGTACCATCAGAGCCGCACAACCAGAATGAAAACGCCCAAGCTCGCGTTAGGTACCGCTACAGTATTCTGTCATTTAAACCCATCACGATAACAAACACAGCACTAGCAGTTTGACTGCCACAAGTAACGGCAAAAACGTAATTCTTTCAGTACAACTACCTCCGAATGAGTGAAAAGAAATCAGGTCCAAAAACTAAATGGCACAAATAAAAATGTCAGTTAATATTATTTTTATTATTATTATTAGATTTAGTGTGATTTCGATTTCGCTAGCTCTTTCAATCTGTTAAAATGCTGTTCCTGACAACATCTGTATCGCAAAAACCATTCAACCGATCCCAAAGAACGAGCGGTGCATAATACTAGCGAAGAACTATATCCGATTCGAACAAAGCGGGGCCGCATTTGTTCTGTTCCGTACGAGTTATTTTAAGAATGGCAAAACAGTAATTGTACCCAGATCGCACCCACAAAGAAATATATGATCTATATCGCTCTGACTACGCATGAGATTGTATGAAAAGGCCACAATGGCGCAGACCAATACAAGTGAACGATCTCTAACAAATGTTAGAAGAAAAAGCCAATTGTTGACGAGCAACGTATAGTTATGGCTGGTTTGCAGCTCAAGACAGGAATGGCACCTTTGATGAGTCTTCTTCAAGCGACAATTTTCTGTTGTTTCGTCTCATTCTCACTTTCTTACCTTGTTTTTGTTGCCTTCAGGGCGCATCATCATTTGCCACGTCCAGGTTGGCGGAGGTGCCGATGCCGACTGCGGTCAGAAACTAAACAGCTATCGCACGACGCATACAGGATAGCTGAAGGGGATCCAGGACACACACTCGTAGGTTAGTCTCCAGATATTTTGCTGCAAGCATACTCTGTACCTTAGTTGCACAAACGGGCTACCAAGACCTCGCTTAGTACCACCAGCAGCACACGATCGCAATCATCCAAAAACATGATGTACATCTGAGTGATTAGCACAACTCTAACAGATTTATTTTGTTTCATCCTTTTTTACGTTTTCTTTAACAGTAACAAACAACAAGGAGTTTCTTGCCCACGTGCGCCACAAAAGAACGCTTATTAACGCGCTTTTTTTTCTTTTTCTCTTTGCCCAAGGTATTGAACTGCGAGGCAATGGCGCGCGTCTGGTGGTGAGGATAGAGCAAATTTTGAATATTGCGGTTTTTGTTAGAACTCGTTTAAATGCGCTCAAATAAAGCTTAAATATTTTGAACATATTATAAAGCACATTTTGTATATTAGGACGCATAATAAAAAAAGATGGAGACTTTTTAATACTCAACGAAACAACGTAGCGCATAGTTAATATTCTTTAGAACTTCTATGGGTCCTGATCACCTCAAAACCAGGATTTGGAAGCGAATCATATGACATGCTCATTACATTTTTTTCTACCGTCTTTCCAGCAGCTAAAATTCACTCAATGGCACGCAATGGAGTTTGAGTGCTCCCTGAGATTCTCTTTGATGTTACCTCCTTTGAGGTTAGATTTTTTTGGTGATTAGTTCAGAACGAAACGACATCACAGATTTTTCAAAACTGCCTTTTCAAAATTTTCTCCCTGTGAACAAGCCAAAAACATACTGAAAAGAACCCCTGTCCATTCAGCTAGATGGAAATTGACCTGTGTTAACAAAATCTGTCAGTCGTCAACAATCTACACATAAGCTTTGAAAACAGAGCTGTTTGATTCTTGTTTGCTTTGGTGTTTTTTGTTCTGAATCGTTTGGCGAATCTAAGCCATTTGTATAGCCTGGAAGGCAACAGATGAAAATAGAGAAATCCTACTCGCTTTTTAATCCTGTCTTTAAATTAATCAATTCTGCAACGAATTAATTCTATGTTACGTCGAAAAAACAAAAAGTATTTTTTCTATATTATGATAGACACTAATTTCGGACATAGGTTTCGTAAAAGTAGATATAAGGATCCCGGAAAGCAACTAAAGTCATAAGGTTTAGTGCCATTTTCTCATAACCTAGATTCTTTTGTAAAGGTCAAAAACGCTACTTCCAATATACTTTCGTATCGGGTACTGTGCTTCGTGTCAACGGTACTACGATACGCGAACCGTCAGCTGCTCATTAATTTCAATAAGAATTTTACGCAAGAGGCTTCATCGATTAAATCTATTACTACGGTTATATTATGATTGTTTCCTTTAACTGCCTCAAATACCCCTGGAAACGAAAATCCAAAATGCAAAACTTATACATAAAGCGCATTTCTGCGCAGCAAATTCACGCGAAAAAGCTTGGCGGGCTTAGGATAACGATAACAACGGAAACAGCTGCATTAACGTGTATTGGTATTACCAGCGAACTCAGCTGACTTTAAACATTCTTCAATACCCTACGGAAAAGCGAATTCGTATGTTACTACCACCCGAGGCAATGCGTCAATAAGTAAACAAAAACACTAGCCGTGATAACTAAAAAGGTGCCAAGACGACTGTGATTGAACCAACTAAAGCATATTTATATATTGATGCATTTTTCTGGTACCAACAACAGCAGAGGGCGGTCGTGCAGAGTTACATATCAGACATGTACATATGCCGGTAGAGGCCAATCAATCATGTGGATTCTTTAGTTCAATAAGGTGCCTTCTTAACTGAACAATAATGATTGACAACAGTTGCTACGATTAATATTAATAAGTACTATTAATACACTAATGTATATATATATATATATATAGTGTAGTCTCGAAACTGCAGGATCCTTACACCGCTAGTTGTGGGAACGACAGTGGTATAAGCAGCAAGGAATAACGACTCAGCCTACAAACGATTCAGATTCCGATTGCGACTGGTCATCATACGCGACTCTTATATATATAAAACGGGCCGATATGTGACTAGCATATTCCTGGTTTTTATAATGCCTAAGGTCATCCACCTAAAGTTGACAAGCCACCAAATAACATCGGCTGTGTCACATACAGCAGCGAAAAAAGTGTGGGACAGCCGACGAGCCAATAGGCCGACGAGCACAAGACGAGAACCGTTCGAATGGCGGTGGCCACAGTGAGGCGACTTTCCTTTCAACCGACCATGGCACCCTAGTCGCCAAAGTACGTGTATGATACGGCAGAGGCTTTGTATGCTCGTCTTCCTTCAATACTGGAGTGCCGCTTCCCTTCACAGAGACGAAGATAAAGGAAGCAAGAAAGATAAAGGAGTAGGCGAATTTGAACGACGACACGTTTTCAGTTGAACCAGTACAACACTACATACTGACATCGCCAGTATATGTAGCAGTTGTAACAGTAGCATTAGTAAAAACAAAATGAACATAGTTAGTAAAGAGGCAAGGATAATTCAGAAGCACCGTTACCACGTTGCGACAGTGACTGCTCTGCCACTACGCGACGATACGAACACCGCATCGAAAACACGACTGGCGATTAGCAAGACAAACAGCACCAACCTTATCAATTCAATTCCAATATTGTATGAACAGTTACTGGATCGACTCCAATCTTTATTTGAACTGTAAGTAGGCGTTATTGTCGCTGCAGTCACTGACTGGGTCGTTTCCACTGCTGCTCACTTAATTTCTACTAATACACTATGATGTTAACATGGTGCAAACAGGTGATGCACCGCCAATTAGCAGCTAGTTACTGACTTCAGTAGACGACAACAGGCCCCCCCTACTGACAAACTACACGATCTTAAGACGATACAGCACCCAACACCACGAGCACCCGACAAAAACACGCCACACTTTTTGGCAAACAAAGCCAACACCGACTGTTGTTGTTGCTGCTGCTGCTGCTGTTGTTGTTGTTGTTAGTGTCGTCGTGACGAATACTTCCTCCGGCTCGTGCTGCTTGAGGCCTGCTTGTCTTTTTGTCCGATTGAACGGTTTTCGACAGTTACAGTCATTAGGAAAAACAGGGTCTATCCAGCCTTAGCTAAAGAGCGTCTCTTGCCCCTGTTTCCTTTATACATACGGCCAGGGTGGCACTCACAGCTCAACGAGAAACGAGCACTCGGAGATATGGCAAGACATCAACATGACACTAACGTGATAGCCGCTTTGCCAGCTCGGCTTTGAAAAAGTCGCTTGCTCGTTAGCTCACTTGCCCGCTCCCTCCCTCCGTGGAGCAGTATAATCGCAATCGCACTGCAACGACGTTGTATCTGACCTGCTATCCAATCCAGCCACCCAGCACGGAACTCAACTGCTGGTTCTTATCCTAGCTTAGTGCTCCATACTGCTAAGCTGTGCAGCAGCAGCGATGGGAAGGACCAGCCAGTCAGCAGACCACGCCAGAGCCACAATCCAGTACGGATAATAGGGGTGAGTGTGGGAGCTGAGGGGAAGAAGAGGTGGGGAGGGTGGCCAGAATCGCAGCGCAACACGTCGGTGAACGTGGCACCGACGATTTTCGATTCTCTGTCCAGTACGCTAACTGCCACTGTCTCTAATGCGGCGGGCGTGTCTCGCCAGCCGACGAGCGCAACAGATACGGCGGCACTTCAGATTTACTATCGCCACTGCGTGCTGTTGCTTCAGCAATTGTTGTCTTTACTGGAACAGTATTCGCGCTTGGCGCCGATCTATTGTTGCTGATTGCTAGCGCATTGGAGAAAGAACGGGTCGCTACGCCCATTCAGGATACACTTGCAGCAGGACAAAATAAGAACACCGAACAAATTCGCCATGCAGCAATAGTGATGCATGGAATGGCGCGACTACAGGGTCTCCGCACTGAAGATGATTTTTGACTACAGCGGTCGACAGGTTGCATGCAGTTCCCAGCAACGGCGCTTCTACGACGGTAGGCAGGTAGGCGTTCGTTAAGATGGGAGATAGATATACTCGGTGTGACAGACAGGGTTATGACCGACAGCAAGGAGGTTTATTTATGCTAGAATATAATACATGAACAAAACGACTGGTGAAGTGTTATTGTTGGCTTATATTGTTGTTATAGCTATTGTTGCAGACGTTTGCGAATCTGCGCAGTAGCTGAGTTTTTCGGTCTACTCTCACAGTGTAGATCGCATGCGGCCAGTGATCGAATGTCGGCTGCATTCGAAATTGTGTTTGGTGTCGACACCATCTACTCTCGCCTCACCTGTAACGTCTTTTTTCTGTTCATTATCTCAACTCTGTCGAATGTTATGGCTACACGCATATCCCAGAAGGCTGAAGACTTAGTGGCTCTTTATATTTGCATCGCGAGTGCGAGTGTAATTCGATTTGTTTCTTTACAGACTTTGCAAATAAACAAAGAACAGACTGTAAGGTAACAGTGTTGTGGTCTAACTATTAGTGAACCTGTTGTGGGTGACGAATAGGCGCAGTATAGAAGCCCACGAAGTCACTCTGAAAATGGGTCGTGCTACCAAGGATAAACGAGATGTTTATTACCGGCTAGCTAAGGAAGAAGGCTGGAGGGCTCGGAGCGCATTCAAACTTCTACAGATCAACGAACAATTTAAGATATTCGATGGTATGTGTGTGTCTAAATACCGGGTAAGCTCGTAAAGTAATTTAAATGTTTATTGAATGCGATGGTTTTGTTTAAACTAGAGGCCGCCCATACGACGCATCGCTTTAAAAAAACCATATTGAAATCAGCTGTAGATTAAATTCATTTTCATATTTAGTTTCGACAATGTTTTGACTGTGTGGAATATTTGTTCAAATATTGATTCGAATGTTAGTAAAAGCGTGAGAATTATTTAGAAGGCTTGATTCTTAAGATTTTTTCTGATGTGATGCTGAACTTTATTGAAACTGCAACACAGCTTAGCTATAAAAACACTATTAAAATATATCTTTCGGCCAAGTGTCCCATCAAATACGTGCATCGTTGTTGCTTCCCTTTTTACATATTTTTTCTAAGTACCGTGAGTACACCTAGCCATGGCTTACTCAAATTTCTTTGTGCCGCTGTAACTTAATTGGTCTTGTGCTGTTCTATTATACATCCCTTAGGATATTATGCATTTACAAAATGTTTTTCAAGTCTGCTATGTATATAATATATTCCTATAAAAACCACTCGTAAATATGGTTTATTGTAGGCGTGAAGCGAGTCGTAGATCTTTGCGCTGCGCCCGGCTCATGGAGTCAGGTTCTCTGTCGAAAACTGCACCAGGCTAATCCAGGTCGAGAAAATGAGGTTAAAATCGTCGCTGTTGATCTTCAGGAAATGGCGCCACTTGAAGGCGTTATACAACTTCAGGGTGACATTACAAAGAAGGATACGGCCGAACAGATTGTGAACCTGTTCGAGGGAGGACATGCCGATCTGGTTGTCTGTGACGGTGCGCCCGACGTCACTGGATTCCATGATATGGACGAATATATTCAAGGACAACTTCTTGTTGCTGTGCGTATAGTTATATCTGCATGGAGATTCTCCTGGCGTAATGAATGAAACGTAAATGTAGCAACAGACGACAGAGTTGAACAAAACATTTGTATAAAACCCACGGTCATGGTTGATGGTTGGGTTTGTAACCGTTCGGACGCTTAAAAACGCTATCCAGATGACCTTGTTTGCACACATTATACCAATGATAAGAATGGATTGAACCAATGTCGATACAACGAAGTGTCGGTCTTCACACGTAGTGTTCTTCACTAGTAATTATCCACTAACGCAACTGACTTATTCTTGTATAGTCATATTTACCTTAGGAGTTACAATTCATATTCTTCGTTTGTAACCCGTATGAATTCACAAAATACAGGTAAAACTACTCTATAGCTTTTTTTTGTAAATAATTTATTACAAGTAATTTGTTAATCGGTTTTATATTCGTTTATTTTCCTAAAGAAAAGTTCAACAACAGACATGAAAGGAAGCAGGGATTCAGAAGAAGGTCTATTTTTTATTGTCCGTTTCTCCGATGCCTAAACTTCTAAAAAATGATAATTTCTAGCTATGACTGCACTATCGGAACCTAAAAATACATAACCAGATATATAAATTAGGCATAAATAAGGTGGCAGAGTAATATTTGCTTTTGGTTTTTATGAATTTCTAAATCATATAGTTAAAAAAAGAAAACTCCCTAAGTGTGATGTACTCCTTCAAGACAGGAAGAGTGTTAATGCAGAAGGGCAAAAGTTAATTTTATCTGAAATGATGAAAATCGAGTATAAATACTTAATCTATCTTAAGTTTAATTAGATTAATTAGTTTTTTATGCTTGACTACCAGTCTTGGACTTGCACGTATTTTTTTGCTACGTTTGGCAAGTTTTTAATTTTTAATTTGCGAAGTTGCAACATTTATTAATTGAAATTCACTCCTTTACACGGGAAGTTTCACATTTATCTATCTTTGATGTAGAAGTGTTTATTTTTTCAGGATTTGCTGTCAGATGGCCGAAAGAAATGAGATATGCTTATGCATTATAAAAATCTAAGAAACTGTTTTAGATCTTGTCGCACGGAAGCACTTCATATATGACATAGAAGTATTTTTGTAATAGTTTTATAATTTATGTGAACGAATATACGGATAGCAGAAATCAAGAAAGCTAAATTTCACTAATGTAATTGCTTCGGAGCAATAGGCAGCTGCTACAATAGGTTTATTCTTTGTCCTCAATTTTCTTTTTCTCTGCTAACACAGGCACTGAACATAACGACGCACATATTGAAGCAAGACGGGGACTTCGTGGCGAAGATTTTCCGTGGCCGAGATGTGACCTTTCTGATTTCGCGACTCCAGCTATTCTTTGAGCGCGTGGTTGTCGCAAAGCCAACATCGTCGCGCAACTCGTCTATTGAATCCTTCGTCGTCTGTCTTAACTATAACCCACCTAAGGATTACGTACCACACATGTACAACCCATTCCTCGATGGGAATTTCGGTGAGCAATATTCATTGTCCATAACTTTCTCCCACCGCTAATAGCCAGTTGAGTTCATGTTCGCATGGTGCTAACTGAGAAACATTAATTTTCATTTTATCTAGAACCAGTGACTACGCAATATTTTCGAATCAGTTAGGTTTTTAACGAATAATCTGTTAAACTATTATTACTTGATCAAGAGTCGCAGTTAATATAGACCGCTTAAGAAAAGGCTCGTTGTATATTTCTCGTGGATTTTATATTGATTCCCAAGCAATTCGCAGTAGCTTCAAAAGCAGAAACTTTATTCGAACAGCGATCACTTACCAAATCCATTCCTAATCTACCTGATTTCCTTTTGGTGTTACAGCTAGCATAGAATCAATGCCCGAAGCGAATCGAAGAATTGTGCCATTTGTCGTTTGCGGAGATCTCGAAGGTCACCCACCCATCGATTCTGATCGAACCTATTCTCTTGATGAGGCGTACGTGTATACCCGTCCGACACAACCGCCCATCAATCCACCGTACAAGGAGGCGAAACAGATGAAAAGCGAAGATCGCCTGGCAAAAGCTGAGACCAGTATCTCTAGTAGAGGAAAATCGCTCTCGTCTGCTGAAGTGACAACTGTCAACGACGTGGAATCGATGCAGGTGGGCAACTCATCTTCGGAATCACCGTCGTCGTCTTTGTCACCCGAAGACCTAGAAAAGGATATGGTATGGCAAGTTCATACGAATTTGACAGATCTGCCCACCAGATCTCCTCAGCCAACAATAAGCGGCAGAGGAGAAGGGCGTACGGCAGAGAACAACGGACAATCTTCCGCAAGCAGAAACCCGAGCATCGTAGAGGATTCTGACAGATAAGATTTGAGCCTTGTCGTTAACGTGCAGGCAATAATTTGTTGCAGCATTTAAAAAAGCTCAAGTGTTATTGCTTATAGATGCAGGAAAATTGCGCACCTCGAAAGATGGAAAAAATAATGACATGGACATCTTCGCAGTTCTTATCTTTTATTGGTTATGATGGTGAACGCATTTAGAATAATGTATCATTATTGTTGTTATGTAGTGCTAGCTATGTAAATATATTTACAACTCTACGATTGCTGAGTTTCTTGTTGGCTTATTTCACAGTGGAGACCTATAGCTTATATCGCCGTTATATTGATAAATCCATACCACTCGGTTCTTTAATTATCCTCACTCTCATAGCCATTTCTCAGTTTAAACAAAGACTACCTGTGTTAGAAATGTTTGTAAACATGATTAGTGGTAGATCTATAATAAATGAATCGATCAAAGAATGTGTACTGTTAGCCCGTTTTTGTCTTTGTTATCTATGGAAGGAAATAGGCAGTTTTAATGTTACTTAATTAATACGACGACGAAAAATTTTTATGGAAATGGAATTAATCAAATCGACAGAAGTATACAAGTATATATTTGTTTAATAATAAATCAACCTTAGACTGGGCCGGTTATTTTATAGAAGCAGGGTAGTTTACCGGTTTAGAGGTTATTGATTACAATTTAGGGGTATTATATTTATTTAAAACAACGCACCGATATTTTTATCTGTCTTTAAAAGAAAGGGAATTAGACTGTTTGATAAAACCGTTCATCGTGAATACTATTATCGTAAAGTTATGCACATGACCACTGCAAATTGTATAGAATAAAAAGTAATTTTATAGAAACCCACGAACACACCGGTTCGGTTCGAAAAAAGCACGAATAATATGGTCAATGTAAACAGTTTGTATGAATGCAGAAACGGCGGAGACTTAGCACATGTTGAATCATTGTTCCAAGCTTTAGGCTTGTGACGCAAGAGAATATGTATTTTTACTCGACGAGTAGAGCGCCAGTGTAATCGACATCCTATTGTTAAATAGAATTCATATGCTTAAACAGTGTAGATTAAAAAGGGCCAATTATTTTGGAGAAATTAGTTCGTATATTACGGATTGCTAAGTGCGAGCATATTAGAGAGCGCTGGTTAAAACGTTTGAAGCAATTTGAATTTCTATGAGGACATATATCCAACAAATCTGTTCAGTGTGATATAGTTTAATACGGCCAATTTGACGAGATAGCCGCCACAGCTGAACGCTGATTATTTCTGTTAAGTACATTTACAAAGTTTGTAAAAATTTATTCGCCGAACACCATGCTTTCTATTTCTAAGGACGCAGTTGTTCCCGACCGAGTTCAATCGTGCTTGGTCAGGTGATCTCTCCGTAGAATACAAACGTTTACTTCCTAAACTAGATTTAGTGGATCTTTCCCGACTTCACTATGTGGAGACAGGCCTCAACCAAAGTGCTGCATTTGTGCTGATTGATTCACACCTTTTTTCCAATTGCGAGTTCACAAAAGCCTAATACAACTTACTTGTGGATAAGCTGATTTCGTTTATATCCTTTATCACACAATCCTCACATTTTTTTAAGGGCAAATTTGCGTATAAAATTTCGCGGTTTTTTCAAATCTGGGTGCCTAGTGTCCCTACTCGCTAAGTTCATTGTCATAAAAAGCATAGCCAGCAAGCGTTCTGCCACGTTGGTTTCGCAGCGTTGCCAAAAATGATCAGAGATCAACTAAGCGGTTAAGAAAAATCGATTACTATCAAGGCTCATAGCTGCTTGCATGATTTATATATTGTTTCATTATTTTGTTGGATAAATTCCAAGTAACTTAGGTTCCAGGTAAAATAGGTTCGTGAAATGAGTGATATATGAACATGCTGTCGTTCTATCAAAAAAGGGCTGATCTTACATATACAGCGATTGCGTATTGCATAGACGCCTTAGGATCCCATAGGTTCTGCAAATGCTGCACTGACATTTCTCCTGTCGAAATCTTTCCAGTTGACAAAGGCAGTCTGTGTTATATTGTCACGTATTCTGTCCTAGATACGTATTTCCCTCTACAACTAAGGAGTATTGCGTTAATGTGTGGGCCAGATGATGTTACCCCGACAAATACTCGAAATGTCAGCTCCATGTCTGATATCGTCTTTGAACCATTGATAGTGTGGGCCATATCGTCGCAAATCATTTACGATCCTCCGGGATTCCAGGAAAATTTCATACGGTCGCTTCTACTGATTCTGTTGACTTCCCGCGTAGAAGATTCTAGCAGGTATATTAAACAGGAATAGATAGCTTTACATGAGTAAAAATTTCAAATTCATGATGGTTTATATCGTTCATTTTAACCAAGTGTAGAAGCAGTAGGTTCCTTGCTAGATTAGTTTATGTCAGGGTCCTTTTGTAGTTTTAGAATCACGATCTTAGGTTTTTTGAAAAAGCTATCGATCACAAATTCAAACTAACCAGTCTGAACATGACAGTTTCTCTGTACGTACAAAACAGTAACGGCCGGCTTTTCAAGCTTAGAGTTATCCATCATTTTTTGAATAACATCATCTTCCTTCTTGCCTGTAAAAGCGGGATACCAGTTGTTCGCGAATGGCGGAATGGAAGGAAAATAGCACTCTAGCTAATAATTGTGATAATATATATATATATATATATGTATATATATATATGTATATATTTGTCCTGTTTGACCCATAAGCTTTAAGCCATAAGCAACATCATTATATGAAAACCATTTGAATACATAATTTAGCAGAATAAGCTCAGTGCTTTTGTGACATATCCAGTGAGGGGATCAGTGTTGAAGAACTTCATATCTCAAAACCATTACATGTCCGCAGTTCGTATGATAGTGATGATTTGAATGTAATACTAATCTCCGCGCTTATTCGATAACTGCTCTGAACAACGTGGCCCGATGGAATCGTACGGAACATTGAACATCGGTATTTGCTGGAAAGTCTCACATATTGGGTGCACTTTGGTAATTTTTGCATCTATTTGTTTGAGGTACAAAACTGACTGATGAGTCAACGTGCCTTGTGAATTTATTATAGCCCTAAAGGGCTATTTAACACTCGCTAGTGACGTTGAAGAGGACATTTTTGTAGGTTACTAGTTTGCAATCGCGTTTCCATTATTTTTTTTTCATTTCTTTATTATTTTGCTGTTCTAATAATGGAGTCTATAGGGAGTATGAAAAAAATATTTCTTTTTTAAGTTCTGAGCGCATTTTGTGCTTTTCATTTTGATGAGTGTACATGTTGATGTCGGAAGAATTAAAATAACCCAATATGCAGCATCATGAGTTTTTGTGGTTTTTTTGCCCATATAAACACTTTTTATTAATTCAAGTGTTTCAATTTAATAAATAGTGAATTTGAAAACACGAACTGCAAAAAACTATTTCCTTTGCTGCATTGTGTATCTATTCGTCGTATAGAACAGAAGTGGGTTTTTGATTTTTCTGAAACTGCTAAGATCTTTCAGTAGCCACAGTCTTCTAAAAACAGGCATGTTGCTTCTGGGGAAACGATAGTTGAATACATATAAGCATGTAATGGGTAACAAGGACAAAAACAAATCTTGACTCCGAAATTAAGAAAATCGTACATGTCTTTGGACGCACCATCAAGATCTATCTCGCATCAATTGCACTTGTCATGCCTCTTTTGTTACAAAATTCCCTTATCCTTCCACAATAATTTTTCTACACGTTGTTAAGAAAGTTGCGCCAAAGACATCGTGAACACAGTGAATGGTTTAGATTTATGATTTATTAATTATCTATTTCATTAAAGGCAAGTCACGGTATATTTAAAAATTGCTACAATTCTCCTGAACCTAATTATATACGCATTTAGCTAAAAAAAATAAAGATAAAAGCTTGCAGCCAACACGTAAGGAAACCCGATTGTCCTCGTTCTTAGCAAGCAAAACACCTGAAACATATCTACGCCAAGTCGATTTCTTAGATCATTACGCTGTAATGTGTGAACGACATTATCGTGCGTTGAACTCTCTTCCTCATGAATACGAACCTAGACATTCACCGCGTTGCGGAAGCCTGCGGAAGAAGAACTTCGTATGGCAGCCCGAGGTCTGGCAACCATTAGCGCTTGTGCCCGCGTTGAAGTTTAGAAGCGCTGAAGTATCGGATAGAAAATCAAGTCGGACGGGATACCGTCTGCCATCAAAAAAAAACTCGTTAGATCTATTGCTGTTGCTGCTGCTGCTGCTGCTACCCGTGTTGTTCTTTTCGTTTTCGGGAATTCAACCGTGTCATCTGATTACTGCGACGAAGGAATTTAATGGCGTCCGAGATAGCTAAGTACTGTCCAATATCAATACGATTGCAAAATACAAGAAAAATGTCATTTGAACAGAGCTATTGCGAATGTTGGCAGGTATCGTGTTAGTGAACTTGTATGTGGCAGTTAGCATTTAGTTTTTGCCGAGTTCTGTGCATGCCGAAAACGGATATGGCTAGTCGAACACACCCAAGAGGTCGGCCGTCCAATGATGAGCTATTGCAGCGGGTAAGTAGCAGTCTAATACAGCACAACTATTCCATACGGCTTACTTAAGTAGGTTAACAGTAGTTGCTTACAATAATGTGAATTGGTTTCTTATCGACTGCCTACTTTGCTAGTTGACTTGTTGGTGAAATATGTTTTGTTGTACAGTTTTTGTACGTTCATTGAAGAAAAGAATCGTATTGGAGCATGGAATATGGAACAGTAATAAAGTTGGTTTGACTAAACGAAAAATGATATGCACAATATGGCTTTATACTCATTTTCATATCCTAGTTAGCAGTGCTAAGCTCCTGGAGCAGCTTCAACTGTCGCTGGTGGTTTTCTTTTTTATTCGTAGTTATGTAACGTTCTAAATGCTCTGCTCGACACTTTTCAAGCAAGTGAATCTACAGACAGTAGTATCTTGTTGAAAGGTATAGACAAAAAGTGTTCTCGCTATACGTCCTAGTATTTAAATATGTATTCGCTATGGTAAAAATATATGGTCATAAAATAATAGATGCTCAAAAAATCCATATCAGAAATAAGGTAAGGCTAAATGGTTCAGGCAAGACAATCAGTTCTAGCCAAACTTTGCATTTAGGGATCGCCTGAAGAGCACTTACATTTTTTTGAACTAGTAGAAAACTAGCGTTGAACTAGGTAATCCCAACAAGAACTATTCTAGCTACACTTTTTGGTGTGGGCAAATTTTGATGCGATACCAATAAGTTGATTTCGAGAACATGTTCACACAGGAGGAATAGCAAAGAACGTTAAAAGAAAACTAGTGGGAAGTTTCTAAATTTGGTGTTTGGGACAACCAAATACTTTTCAGAGAACTATTTGCATTAGAATAAAAGTACTACTTAACAATTAGAAAATTTATCAAACTACGTTCAGCTCAATTGCCGGGCCTTGAAATACGAACCTATTCGTCTCAACAGAGTAAGGTCTGTTGTCCGCGAAACGTCATCTACTTTTTCGATGTTATTTTTTGACGACCCGATAATTGTATTATCGCGTTTTCTCTTTTTTGTTTTTACTTCGGTTTCCTTGACATCGGTTAGCTGTTGTCTGCTTTAACTTCAATAGATTTTTGTATCAATAAAAAAGTATTCTAATAATAAAATTCATCTCCACATTCTTAAACGTGTTGTTATGAGATATTATGCGTACATGTACAGCATCATAGTATGTATTAATTTCTACTAGTATTACGTCGTCATTATGCTATTACATTTGCTCTTGAGTTCTATACATAAAAGCATTAAAATCCTTGCCTAAATTCTACTAGCGTGTGCCATAAATTCTACTAGCGTGTGCCATGACTAATTATAGGTTATCACAATTAATAATCTCAGATATTTACTTAAGCCTTGTGTATTGAATGTCTTCAGTATTGTTAAATGACAAAGACACTCCATCCTTTCACTTGATGGAGTAGACAGCTAAAGTACTATTTTTGCATGCACAATAAAAGACACATTCCACGAAGTCAATAACACCTTTGTTTTCTGTTTATTCTGCTTAGTAATCCTACCCAGTTAACAAGCATAGGTCGCCGGCTTACATCGTTTACCTATCTTTTCAAAATTCACTTTTTTTTTAAATGTTTCAACAGCTAAGTTTTTCCACCTGCACCTCCGCAATAACCTTCTGAGGATCTAGAGTTCACTTTGGGTTGTCCATGCTTGGAAGTAAGCGATGGCCAAGGCGCGTTGTTCGTGAGGTGTCTCGCTTCAAGTCGAAGCTCGTAGTGACCAGTAGTCGGATTAAGTTCTGCCCGAGCTACGGTTGCCAATTCCGCTCGAACGTCGTGACCGAGTTTAACCATCCGGGCAATTTCGGCCGGGTCGGTTACTCTGCGGTTCTCATCAAATTTGTGGCGAATTTCCTGGCGAGCTTTTTCTTTGGCAGTGCTGTCATTATGAAACACTTGCTGTGAAGTTCGTAGAAGAGACTTGAAACAATTGATCACCTCTCGACGACTGGCCATTTCGATCGCTGTTCCTATATATCTTTCCATTCGAAATTTGATGTATTGTGTTATTACTGGATACATGCAGGTAAGTGTGGTACCATTTCGTACCGTAAATAGATTTGTGGTACCAGCCAAACTATAAGCAATATGTGGCGCGCATTTAAACTATACAGTAACCCTACCGTTTAAACTGCTTATTGAAACGCTTGCTGCGGTTTCTAGTGGAATATAACTCGAAAAAGCTTATTTATTTCAGGTAACAGGCGTTTGAATTTTAGAGTCCAATACTTTTTGCAGAAAAAAGCCCTAAATACGGCATCCGAATCTCACTGATTTGTTATTAAAAAAAAATGTTGCCTCTATTAGGAACACAGCACGATTTTCGAATTAAGCTGATATGATTCTTTAGTGAGAATGAGTACTTGTTAGCGTAAAGGTTTCATAGTAAATCGTATACGATTGTGTAATGGTGGCATTCATTATTAATGAAAGTCTAATAAGACTAATAATTGCATAGTTTTCAGAAGCCTGTCCAGGTCATATATATTATTATTATTAAATGAGCGAACCCACTGCTTTAATCATTTCGCGTATGTTGTTATTAGGATATTGCCATTTCATTCAGGTAATTGAAAAACCGTATTTTATATCATATTTATTAGAGATTCTCAATCGATCGGAGCTTTGCACGATGCACTTAAGGAACAACTGTTGATTAATCATCAGCAGTTACCCTGAGGATTAGCGAAATAATTTACACTGAAAAAAGGATATTTGTTCTCATTATATTTCTTTATTTCTGCTGTGTAAGGAATTACTTTGGAATCTGATTTATATTCAGGTGGTTGAGTTAGCTAAATTATGGGCGGAATACTGTATTGTGTGAAACAGAAAAAGATCTCCATAACGTTAACCCATGGTACTGAAGTAATACCTTAGAATAAGTATTTTTAGAAACATTTTTTTCTTTATTTTTCAGGGAGCGCGCGAGGTTTTAGGTTGGCTCGAACGTGTGGAAACACAACATTTACACTTAGTGGTGGAGTATAACGCCAAAATGAGGGATATGGCTAGAGCCGTGGAACAGCATCGTCAGGAAGTCGTTCAACTCAAGGAGGTATCATCTAATAGAAGCGTTACTAAGTATTTTTATTAAGGCCTTTTAGTACAGTCAGGGGACTCTGAGCTGTTTTGGCCGGAAGAGAACTCAAAATAATATGAATGAATAATATTGGACGTATATAATTACTTATATAACTAAGCAGCAATAAATACCTTCACTCTCGTATCAATTAATTTATTTTAGAAGCTATAACATGAGTAGCTTATTTACCCTCGTATACCGGCGCAGCGCAATGCGAAATTTCAGAGCGAGAATGAAGAGCTACGGAATATGTGCTGTTTTTTGGACGACGAACGTGAACGAGCGCATAAGCTGGTTACTGAATGGAGGCGATTCGGTCGATATACGGCATCAATTCTTAGCCACGAACTCAATTCTTATCATACCAAGCTCAATCAGCTTGAAAGTCGCCAGAATCGCATACTCAGGTAACATCGCATTGCGGTAATATGATTGAACTTTTTTTTTTATATAATTCCTAATTGTCAAGAACACGTGAAGTGCTGCGGTTCACCAAAGCTGGTCATGCGGTGTCATTTGTATACAAAAAATATTGTTTTGTAAATATTCAGTGGGAGTGGTTTCAGATGGGAGCCAACCAATGCGAAGCCCGATCTCCTAGAAGCGACACCGGCCAGCACACAAAACCAATCCAAGGACCACTCGGATAAGGAAGATAGTTCGTCAGAAGCAACTTCTTCTAGCGCCACTGCTACGCAAACAAGACAAGCAATGTCTTCGACCGAATTGACGCCTACCATATCTGCAGAATCGGTAGGAAGCGGAACAACGCAGTCGCACGAATCAGACCAGAGGCGAAGCATCGCAGATAACGTTGCGGACGCATTTAAGGTTCTTGAGTTGCATGAACAACTCGAATGTGACCCGATGTCTGATAGAGAAAAAGCTCTGATACGAGATATGTGTAACGTTGTGTGGAATAAACTTGAACAGCATTACAGCCCCACTATTCAACAGATAGCAGCTAGTGAAGGCGATACGGAAAATCAGCGTCAACCAGCTAGTTTAGCCGTGGCATTGGAGTCAAAACCTACTTCGCCAGTCGCAGGTGTAAGCGGGACTTAGCAAGGCTTACCAAAGAGTTGTACCCAGAATTATGCACGATGTTGTAGTCAATAGTTGCTTAAGAGTCACAATCTTATTTCATAGAACATTCACTGGAAATAATGTGAATAAAAGACTGTACTTACTTTCCAATCTACTTTTCTTCTTTGCTAAAGAAATATTGCGGTTAAAATTGACTCATGTGACTATATATTAAATAAAGTATAAATATTATCAACCTAAATAAATGCATCTTTTGGGCATGCATGGCATATGCGGAAATTGGAAATATCGTCAGGTATCATTGAATGTTGTGATATTGGTCTATTTCCTAATCGGCCAGTAAAATGGTGCAGAACTGTGTTAATGGTTAAGAATCACCTGCAGGAATTTATCGGTTAGGCATGATATGTTCATTAACATAGTTATTGAAAGCATAAAAATCATGATGATACCATAAGAGCTCTTGTTAGAGTACCATATCCTAAACTATATACCACAAAACGGGTGCCATATCGTGAAAGAGTACTTGTATGTCCAGTTGTTTATTGGTCTACGATCGGATAAGTGCTCTCCTCGATCTTGCATTTAATAAATAAATTATATTATTTACAAATTCTTGGTATGAGGTTTGCAATATTGTTAAAAGAGGCATATTAAAAATTATTAATGCAAGTGATCGATAAACCACAAGACGTCGACTGTTATAATTATTAGAATGGAACAACAATCATTGTAATGATTCTATAAATATATAAGTATCAAAATTTGAAACGTTTATAAAACCTTCTTTTTTACTTTATAAAGGGTTAATTGTTAATCATAAGTTGAAACCTAACATTTAAGAACATTACATTAGATATTATATATATACGTTAGAAGAATACATTAGATACTTTTTTTAGATATAGTTTTGCTCTAAGACGTCTTGGGCACTCTACCTATCAACCCTACTTTTATACGTGTTGATTAGCAATAGAACTATTTGTGGTATAATATTTCTTCCCGTCATTAGCTGTTTGGATTCTGTTATGGATTCAAAGCACTTTTATTATTCTCCATTATTATTATTAATGTCGATTCCCTTCTAGTTCTTTTCTCCAGGGTTGAACTACGCATCAATAGGTAAAAGCAGTAGGATTTTAAATACGGCGTACGTTTACCTGCCAAAGTTTGCGTAAAGTATCTCAGGCTGGAACACGTGTAGTAAATTTCATATATAAATTTTCCCATAATCCCAAATGCTCAAGAATGGAAATTTGCTCATTCTAGTGTATGTATTAAGCATAGAAAGTTTACTTTTATCTCTCCGTTATTGTCATATGCCTCATTATCGTATGTATATGACAAATGATAAACATAGCAATACGCTGGGGAAATTTCAAAAGGTGAAGTAGCTTGATACGTGGTAAATCACGAGATATTATAAGAATGATAAATGATTGGCCACCATGGGAACTTAGCGCCTTAGAAATTCCTAGCTGATTTCCATCATTAGCTCAAGAAGTATTTATATACATGTGATATACGTGTATTTTCCATTATACCACCCAAAAGTTTACTATTACTTAAGAAATATAGTGACGGGAATAAAAAGCAGCTTTCGGCATAATCATTTCCTTAGGGAAATAGCCTTGCTAGATTTAATTAGATTTTGTGCGCGCCACTTTGCCGCTTTAACTTTGAAATGCGTTCAGAACAATAGGCATTTCAATGCAAGAACGTTCTTGTCGTCATATTAAGACAACTGTGAGGCCGAAGACAATCCGGCCGATCAAGAAAAGAAAACTTTATAATGTGACAAATCGATGTACATAATTAATATATCGATAGTCATTATTTGCGCATCTTGTACTTCGCGATTATAGGCTACGGTACAGTGGTACGAAAGCATCGAATTGTCATGTGACTTTTCACGGTAATTGCTTTGGCTTGCTGTGTCTTTACACTTACTGGTTTCATGGTGTGACAGAATCTGTGCATAGAAAAAAATAGCAGGTTGAATTTATCCAAAAAAAATAAGCCCGAAAAAACATATCTCAACTACTATCACCCTTGATTCATATACACAGAATCGAATAGTTTTTTGTACTTTATTTTAACATAGTATTGTTAAAAAGAACTGCTGCTCTGTCGTATTTTACTTGCAGGTAACTGTTTAAATATTTTCTGCCGAATGATATCGTCAGGATACTCTGATACGCTGCTCATTTTTGCCAATTGGTCTCTTCTACACTACCGTCTGTTAATAGATGATACGCTCCAAAAACAATACCGAAAATCATACGTGCAGCCACGCGTACCGGTCTCCGCAACGTTTTCAGATGCTTAGCGGCCGGTTAGAGTTCCGTTTCACATATACTCGCACTCACTGTAAGTAGAAAGATTGGATTTGTATGTGCCCCAGGAGACACGTATATACATATATGAACGATTGAAAAAGAATCTACGTAACATGCATGATCTTTCTTCTGCAGATGATTACCGTTATGGTCAACATGCCGCTGACAACGGTGGGCGATTATAAAAAAAACTACGGGAAACATTCAACTTGGTGTTGTGATTATCATCACTATTGCAATAATTCTTGCTTGAATGCTTACTGTACTTGCTGCTGCTTTACTGCTTGAATGCTACTTACTGTACACAACAATTGTGGTAAATACTTTGCATACAATATACTCAACAGAGCTTATTTTTTTCGTTGCATCTTTTCACGCTACGTTTTCTACAATAATCATAATTTTCAGATTTTTTAGAATCTCGTAGTGTATTATAATAGGATCTAGAGTTTTGTGCTGTGTACCGCACACTCACATTGCATGTGCATATGTTCTCTATATACTACTCTTCGTATACCTAACTATACTGCGTCTAAACATCAATCTTTGTTTTTTTTTGCACAATGGTCTTAACATCTTCAGATCGGCCTAATACTCCTTGTTTTTTTTCATTGTATCTTCTGTTTTCCATACATCTTTAGGACCTAATTCATTCTCTGCCCTTCGTCAGCTGCGCTGGTTAGCCTCTTATATTAACTTTCTAATTGTCATTATGGTCTATTGCTGTGCCCTGTTCGAAACTGTCTTACCAATTGTTACGCGCATTTATGAGTTGTGTTGTCGCTAGCATCTTTGTGGACCAGTCCTTACAAAGCTATTCATGTGGTACTGATCCATATGAAAAATACGCTATGTTCCATCAATGCTCCAAAATCAGCTATGTCCAATAATAATGTTTCTAATTTTTTCTTTCTTTCCTGCTCTATTCGTTTTAGATTTGGCAATAATTTTACATACTATCTTAATACTTGCATGATAACATATTTAATTGAACGTGATAGAGATTAAGTCAAATGCATTCAAAACTAAATCCTATATTTATTGTTAAGCGAGCGAGGCCAAGTGCTTACAAATAGCACTCAGGGGATGTTTTGCTTTTTGATACGGTGAGCTCTGGAGCAACAACAATCGTATTATAATGCAACTGTCTTACACCATTTGACCGCAAGTAACTTGGATAGTTCCTAGTAAATATAATGAAAAGAACTATGAAAGCAATTTAACCATTCAAGATACATACTATATCGGCGAAGACCTATCGGGGTTCTTTACAATAAAAACCTTATTTGGTGTCTAGCTTCTACGGGATCTGGTTTTGTCATTCTTTCTAAGACCATAGAACTAGTTGCTAGAACAAATTGCTTGTTGATATAACGAAGAAACCAAGAGCTTCGAAGTTCTATGATCGGTATTGCCGTTAAGCATTGCTTGACCCTGTCTGCGATACGAAACGAAATACACTCACGTCCTGCTTCGAACCTAGATCTCACAGTTCCCTAAGCTTACTAGGCAAACACGCTTCCACTGCCCATAAGAACAAAGGTAAGCTCGCTCCTTAAATTAGTCATTCTTAAACTGCTGTCGGTTCATTTGTAGGAATTTTGAATAGATGAGACTCATTATGAATTTTGTGCAAATTCAAATCGTATCACAGCAGTACTGGCTACTTTGTTAAAACGAGTAAAACTTATATTACTACTTATTTAATAAAAAGGGTCACATTTGCATTGCAGATTCGTGGAAAAACTAAGAAGTAAACTTAATGCCTGGAGCAGTAGAGAAACATAAAGAAAGCAATGCTGCAAGCGCTGTTTTTGCGGCTACCTCGATTGTTATCCATGTTCCAATAATATAGATAAAGGTAAAGTTTTTTTTTTAATTTAGTATTTTATAGTGCAGCTTTGCACTTTTCGAATAAACTTACAAGCCACTCATATCGGTTATCGGTGCGGCCTAAACCAATTCGTACCTACCTTCTTTATGAACTGGTGCAGGAAAGCATTGTTATGTACACCACCATGTATTAGTAGGAACTCTAAATCGTTTGGTAATCTCCCCTTATATGAACGAAACGCCTAATTTCAAAGGGGAAAATCTCACGAGATAATTCACGCTTCTCCTATCACTGTTTTTCTCGCCATCCCAATCCAATTCGGGACCACTAGATCGTTTACACTGGCCAAATCTGATCCGAGTATCGTAGAGGATCTTCCTTCACCTCCTTTCCATATAAAAATCTTAGCTGTTCGGTCTCTTTAAAGCAGCACCTGGTTTTTCATGGGACCCGCTCGCACGGTTGGCGGAACGTCAAAACGCGCTATCCGTCTTGACATACTTAGCGCTTACTGCAGTCAGTTAATATTAAGTGGCGTTTTCCTCTAGCTGGCGCTGTTCTTTGAGAAGCAGCGCCTCTGTAACTAGCGTCAGGTTGCGTGGAAGGTGTGTGGTGCTGTCAACAGTGCCAACGGGACATTCGTCGAGCATCCCGTCCCATACAACACGCGTCTCTTAACCAGCGCGGTTACGGCGATCTGACGTGATTGACCTCCAGACAGTGCTAAGGCATCAAGCTTAACCTTGGCGCGCCGCATCAAAGAAGTTTGATTCAATTTTATTCGGTGGCAAGGGGTATCACTGCGGTTCGGCACGATACACACTGTGCGTCAGAGCAGTCGTTGCTGGGGTATACTCGCGAAGTGCCATTTCTTCCGGGGTGATCTTCAACAGGTAGCCGTCAGCATGTATCACCGTTTAGCGGGTTTGTTAGCTCGGGGTACGTATCGCGCGGCGACTAGAGTTTACTCGACTGAAGTGCCAAAAGATGCGGAGGTTGTCGTTATTGGTGAGTGTGAATTAGTACAACTATGAATAGAAAAAGCCAGCTGCATGAAGGAGCCCTGCCAATTTTTTATGCACAGTCGTGAAGCCTTTTTTTTCAGACCTGTGACGTTAAAAAGTGTGAATTAGCCGGCGCGGCAGATCTATCGTTTTGCGACTGCTTGCTGGTTGAATATTGTCTAATAACAACTGTTATCAAAATATGTATTAATATCAAGGTTAATAGCTACTCGCATATCTGCCATGCCGTTGTATAGGTCTGTTAGAGAAATCCTAGATGGGTCTAGTGAAACCCATTACGGTTAGACTCTAAAAAGAGGCAACCGTTTGATGACACACCTTAAAAAAAAAGGAGGATTTATTCAAGTAAAAAGAATCACTAAAAATAATTAAACAAATAAAGAAAATTAGTAAATAAAAAATTAAGAACCCTGAAACCAAAGGGTGACGATGAAAAAGAAGGTTTGAAATGTTGAATGAAAGAAGTAATAAGAGATAATTGTTGCAGGTGGCGGTATCATCGGTTGTTCGACATTGTATCATTTGTCTAAGCGAGCCTGCCGTGCAGTATTAGTTGAACGGGATCGGTTGACGTCAGGAACTACCTGGCACACTGCAGGCCTTGTCTGGCGACTCCGACCTAGCGATACTGATATACAAGTACTCAATCACACGCGGCATTTGCTCAAGCATGCCTTAAGAAAGGTATTTATTTTTATTCAGCACTAACAGCGTTTCTGTATTGTGCACTAATTAGTTCAGTAAATGTAATTTTAGGTACGTCTAGATAACTCTAACCCCTTTTTTTGCGGTGAGACATTTACTATGTATATATATAAAGACATATATATTTTATGGCTGCAATTTTTTTGCAGAATAGCCCGGTTCAGACTATTCCAAACTAAACCTTAAGCTCTACCAGCGTCACAAATACGGTAATATTTTTTATTCCTAAATTGTTACCACTCTATGAAAATAGCTACAAAACAGGTTTAACTTGTGCTTAGAACAAGTATAAAAAGGACTTAGATATTTGACCATCCTAAGCTAGACGATTATCGCGTGTGACCGGTCAATTTGGATATAGATTATGATAATGAATATAATCGCATGGATCGATAGTGTTTTGTTGCTGCTAGTGCCGCTACAACAATAGTCCTTTCGTATAGCGTTGGTCGGCGCAATGCGGTTATTAAATGATCGTCGTACCTGTTTTTGTCAATGTTTTTGTTAGTCGGTGAAACGCGCGCATGACCACTTGAGTAGGCAATACGATAAACCCGGAACACGGTGAGCTGATGTTCTGTTGATGGGAGCGTTAAGTGGCCCCGTCGACATTGACAGTAGTCGCCGCTGCTACTGCAGTTATAGTTGACGACAATAGAGTTTATGGTTACCTCCATTTTCTCGATCCCTTCCTTTCCATCCCCATGGCAGAAGAAGGCATCTACAGAGCTCCATTGAGACAAACAACAGACGGTATCTAATAGCCTTTACAAGCGGGGCTTTTAATTATTATTCCAGCGTATACGTTCATGTTATATTCGTATGAACTTATATCGTTGCTTTTAGACAGGGCGATACTTTTTTAAGGTTGCTTTTTGCTCACTATTTAGAAATGTCTAGCTTGCCTAGTGCAGTCAAAAAACGCATTTCTCACATGCTAGACAATTCTGATAAAGTGTAACGGCTTTTCATACGAAACGCTACGTGAGTCCATCTTGACTAAAATAAAAAAAATTGACTTTTTTGTATAAAAAATAAATAGTAGAGTCTCTTAATTTTATTTGTATTGCCAAGTAAGTCCAAGTGGACTAGTAAATGAATTTGGCACATCTCGCCTTTGCTATCTTTACGGTAACAACGTATGCATATTGAGATCAACTCAGACCATTTTGCACTAAATAGCTAGATTTTTCTACGCCCACTGTATTCCTGATTAACTTTTTGAGAGCTGTGTTGTACATTTTTAGAAGCACGTTATCACATTGTCGGGGGCATCAAACGAATTTATAAAATTCATACAGTTAAGAATCCAAAACATGGTATTTTACCCCTATAGTGCCCCGTACTTTAGCATTTTAATAAAGGCAACGAGTTGACACGAAAAAAAAGAGGACCACTTCTACCATATCTATGCATATGATAATCAGGTAACAATGTGTAGATGCTTATGCCATGGATTATAGATGACAATCAATAATCAATAATAATAATAATGATCCCTTGCTTTTATATAAGAACTGAATCAAAGACAACTTATGGTTACAAGACAATAGATGATGCATTGGCGATTCCATAGAATTACAATTTCGACTTTAGACAGCCACTTATTACACTTGAAGTCAGTCACTTCAAAGAATTACCATATGACGATATGCGCTAAAGATAAACAGCGCATCTATAACGGTAAAAGTTCAGGATTTGATCTGGCCATTCATGAAAACCTCCCAGTTTAATTTTTTCTAACATGTGGCTACGGCCGCATCGAAGAAAACATGCTGACACTATTAAAGAAATTCAAAGTGGTTTTTGATTGGGGCCGTTTACTGTTTAGTTTCTGAATTATATACGTGCATATTAGTCTTACATTAAATATTTTAGTAGAAGACATATTTCTCTGTTAATAACTACATGTAAATATATGTATAGTATTTAGCTTCGGTGTCTTTCATCTCCAATAGGAGTATACACAAATACCGGTACACCACTGCTCAATTTTTGTTGTTACAAAAACCTGATAACTGTGGTAATTTCAACGGCAATAGTAGCACTAATACTGGTAACGTTGTCATATCTGTATAGATAAGCATACTGCATAAATACGTGTACATCCCTTCAGCGAAGTCCGTATTGGACTTGACATGCCTATACGTATTCACATTTCAAGACAAAAATGAACAACTATATCACATTATACAGGCATATCAGCTGCTTGCACTGCCTCGGTAAAGGGGTTACCTTATCCTAATTTAAATTAACTTAATTTAAGTCAAAAAGAAGTAAGGAAAGATGTATTCTAACATACATAATTTTTCTTTTTTTTTGTCATAAGCTTATTCAGTTTAACACACACAAGGTAAGGGCAGGCGGAGAATAGGATTTGTCGTTTTGTTAGCACACAACACGTGAGCTGCCCAGCCCATTTTTCTTTAGATCTAAGCTTAACTTTATCTAAACACGCAGTGTTTTAGAGCCAACCCGCTCTCATCTAGCGTAAAAAGTTTGCTTGTGGTACTAATGAAATCCTTCTCGGATGTAATGTAGCTATCGCAGTCAATTACGATAAATGAAATGAGTTGGGAGCAATACACCCGGTTTACTATAAGTTATATAACATTTAAATCGATTTTGTCAACCAGCTGTTTTTAGAGGCCTGAATACACCTACCACGTATGAACTCATGTTCAGGACAAAACGTCAAGACGTAACAGATAGTAACGATTTCATTTAGTACTACTGACGCATGTATGGCTTCCTGTCATTATTTGCTACAGACTGAATAAAAGAGCGAGCCTATGTGCTCCCTTTGAAGGGGACGTCAGTTAAACTGCTATCGCTTTTCATCTTACATACTAATCATGTACTTTCGTAAGAAACGGTGAAATAAGTCACCATCATCTTTTAGAGTCTGACCCGGCTCAGTAAATCGGCCCAATTTAAAGAGTTGCTGATATACGAAACATAGAAAAATACATATTTCGTCTCGTTTTTAGTTCATGCTCACTTTTCCTTAGAATACACTGTCAGTCTAAACGCTGCGTCTGTTATTCTTTCGTTAGGAAACGGGTTTGGACACAGGATTTATCGAGAACGGAGGTCTTTTTCTGGCCAACAACAAGGAGCGGCTAGACGAATACAAGCGCCTCATGACAGTGAGCAGCATAAGTTTCGCATGAAGTATCGACAGATTTTAAAACCTGAATTTCTGTCTTGAGTCTTATAAGACTTTGTTACGAACTTACACGAAATTCTAGATTTGAGTTGTACGAGATACCTGTACTCTAATGCAATTTTAAAGTTGTAAATTGACAGATAAACTTATAGTTCGCCCTCTACTATATAGAGATCTATTCTATCTATAGACTTAGCAGTGATTGTCAACTTTAGGAGCCTGGCTCTCAGGGTAATTTTTATGTTTGTTGGATGAGATATTGGAATATACATATATATATATATATATATATATATTAGGCTATTGCAAGCGAATCCGACAAAGTTTTTAAATTGAATAACTTTAAAACAAGTTGGGTTACATGATTGCTTTTTAAATGCGTTAGTGCTCTCTTTTATTTTTTGCACATTTGTTTTAGTGCTTTCAGATTGCCATATATACATCATTCGGGTTCCCATATATAATTCCCTTTCTATGCCTTCTCGATGTAAATCGATAATTAGATATACTTGCCCACTATTTGCTTTTTTAAGGCGTAGAAGGCGTCATAATCATACGATCTCAAAACCGACGAATAAGTGAATTACAGCCAACACTGGATATTCCTTTGCTCAATCCAAGAAACAGTTGAGGTATGGCGCTGTCACCAAGTAACTAGATGGCGTCCATTCGATTGCCGTACTAATAGTCCATGGGTCTTTAGGGAACTTATCTCAAGTTGCGTTCGGTGCCTCATTTTCGGCGAAGCGAATATATCATAATAATGGATGCCTCTGATATCGATTACAAGCACTACCATCATCTTACGTCCGAACTTACTTGATACTGCCATTGAACTTAATTTGCCACCATATGCTACAGTTGATGGAAGTTTCGCAAAATACGCCACACGCATCTTCAATTGGCTGAAGTCAATTAGTGGGAGATCTATTTTTTGTTAGTCAGTTTCTGAATTTTCAATATTTGGATTATAATTCAGTATCCGTCACACATAAAAAGCCGGTTTTGACCGAAAGAGCCCTTAGGCTCCAAGCTCTGGTTTCGTGAAAAGACTTTTTGAATGCGGCAACGCGTTTTTGTCCTTTAAATCCCGACATCTGGTCACATCTCCGCTGGTCTTAAATACCCAACCTCCGATCTTGAAGCGTTTGCGCTCTTCACGTACTGTGCCTTTGCTTAAGGCCTCCTCGTCTAATTTTGCCACCAGTTTTTAACGAATTTTTCCAACGCTGTGACCTACAGGAAACAAAAACTTGACCACTATATGTTGACTTGCGAAATTAAAAAGTACATTTTTCTGAGCTCATTTCTTCTGGAATAGGCTCAATTGGTGTCCATTTCTAGGTTTCTAGAAAACTATTTACTAACCAAACTTCACCTGCTAACGGCGCGTAGTTCAAAAGTTAACCGGATTCGTTTGTAATAGTTTAATAAAATACAGCGCGTATGCGTTGAAGCACATAGAGATATAGATTCCTAAAACACAGCGCATATGAGTTGTGCTACGTTCTCATGTATGATTTTGTTCGTGGGGGACAGATTGGGCGTGTGTTAGGTGTCGAATCGTATATACTCACACCCGCTGAGACAAAGAAACTCTACCCTCTACTGAACGTTGATGACCTCTATGGAGCTCTGTACTCACCAGGCGATGGCTGCGTCGACCCTACAAGTTACTGTGCTGCTCTGACTAAAGCCGCTACCAGGAATGGAGCTACGATTAAGGAACATTGTCCTGTTCTGGGTTCGACTTGTGACTTCTTTTCTATAACTACTTTTAATGTGCATATATATATATATATATATTTCACATACGCTTACTATAGTCAACTTGGTTCTGTTAGCTGGTAATTAGTTAATTTAACTGCAATATGAAAGCATCACTCTTACGCGATTAGGTGTTTTGGGATAGTCATATCGCTACTGATTTTTCATTTATTCCATGTTGCTGTATATGAAACAATACTGCGCTATGCTAACAGATATCGAAACGAAGCTGGACGACTTTGGAGTAACGCGCGTCACTGGAGTCCGCACTTCGAAAGGCTTTATAAAAACGTCACAGGTTGTGAACTGCAGCGGCGTGTGGGCGCCTAAAATTGGCACAATGGTTGGAGCTGCTGTACCGCTTATACCTATCAAGCACGCTTACATTACCACCGAAAAAATAGCAGGCATAGAAAATATGCCAAACGTTCGAGATCATGACCTATCACTGTACTTCCGTCTGCAGGGTGACGCCCTGGCTGTGGGTGGTTATGAACCAAATCCTATTATCCTAGATAAGGTTCGTGCGCGTTATGATTAATTTTGCGTTATTCGTTAGCCTAATATCCAACAATTTATCCCTACATATAAGTATCAAATTATTCAAGACAGTCATTTACGCGTTGACTTTAATTTCCATTTATAGAATGATGCCATTGACCTGAAGAAAGCAAGAGTGATGGTGGAATGAAGACCAATATCGTATTAAATGGCTTAGTTTCATTTACAATTGACTTTCAGCTGCCAAAGGACTAATTCTGTAAAAATATTGTAACAACTTACTTGTTAGGTCGATGACAACTTTTCCTTTGGCTTGTATGATTTGGACATGGACGTGTTCGGAATACATCTACAACAGGGCATTAAACGATGTCCGATTCTCGAGAAGACAGGATTAAAGTCGACTATCTGTGGACCCGGTGCGTTTCATTGTATTGTTTTCAGTTTCGTTGAGTCTTAATTTCTATGTGAATTGTGCAACATACGCCTTGACTAGGGGTTCTTCCTTTCGCGTAGATGACCAGCTGGAGCTACCATTCACGTACACTTCTGGACGTCCCAAAAATCACGTATCCATGTTTACTATATATTGCTGTTGTCTTTTTTGGTGTCTTAGAGTCATTTACAGCCGACCACAAACCATTACTTGGTGAAGACGTAAACGTGCGCGGCTTCTTCCACGGTTGTGGTTTTAATTCTCTGGGCATAAATGGCAGTGGTGGGTGTGGACGGGAGCTCGCAGACTGGGTTCTAGATGGCAGACCCCAACTAGATATGTTCGCTTACGATATAAGGCTAGTATTTGTTTTCATTTTGTACTAAATATCACTGCCATGAGTATTCAACTTTTGGAAACAACCCGCTGTTAATTTCTGTCAATTTTGTTGACCTGTGCTCATCGAACAAGTTTTGCAGTACATATATAGAGTAAATAGAAGACTGACTTTCAGCTGAAAACATCTGTACGTCTCCATTTTATAGGTGTATGCATTTCCACAATGTGATTACACGTATATTGCTACACGTGAAAAATTGATTTAGATCGATAAATAATGGCGACAATAAAAAGCAGAGAACTAGGATCTTTTATGCTGAGCCACATATATCAAAGCCGACGTAACGTAATACTTACAAACCACGGGAAATAACTTATCTTGATTTTGCCAATTTTAGACGATTTTCCCCTCGGGTCACGTCAAACCTCCGATGGTTAAGGGAACGATCTCATGAGGCATATGTTAAAAGTTACTCGATTGTATATCCACACGATGAGCCTCTTGCGGCGCGTTTGATGATGAAAGATCCGTTGTTTGACGATTTTCTCAATCAAGGTTGTGTGTTTCAAGAACGACAAGGCTTCGAGAGGCCAGGCTGGTTTGCAAAAGATGGCCGAAACGAGGTATTTCTGCATTTTACTAAAGTAAAATACTGCATCTAGCTTACAGAAAAAAATATTATACATTTCGTCTTGTTCGAAATATTGGACTATGAAATTTCTCTTAAGCCATCCTTGGAAGGCAAATAATTCAAATCCTATTAGAACACAGTAATTTGTTTAAACTGATAGTATACATTTTGTAGGGACTAAGAAATTTTGTATCCAAAATTGGCTGCTCATATGTTTATTTTTCAAGGCCAATTTACTGTTCGACTTTGTTTATAGCGGTAAAAGAACTAGACATAGCTCCTTAAATAACAGCGTCTGTAATTTTGACGGCAGTTCTTTAAATAGAATAATTCAAAAGCCTAAAAGCATTGTAAAAGCAGTGACGTCTCAAACTTCTAACTCATGGAAAAGCTTAAAAATGGAGAAGACTTTAGAAAATAGAAATAAAATAAAGGATGGCCCCCAAACTGTCTGCCGGCTGGTATTTGGAATATACGTTATACAAACATTACCAAACGATTTCAATTAATAAATTCGATAAATATTGAATCCCCTATTGTCTTGCTCTGCGATAGATTCGGCATTGTACATTAAATTTTTGCATATTAAAGTTTCAAAATTACGGAAAGTAATAAACCCATTTAATATCCATTTGAGTCATTTTGTGTGCACTCTTATTTTGTGTAATAGTAGTAGTATAATTATGTGCGCGACAGACGATCACGAAATGAAGTGATAACCTTAGATGCTTTCTAATGTGTAGCCTACGTTATTTTTGGGTAATTTTGGGCATCAAAAATGGCATCTGATCATATATATTATGCAAACATCATTTTGCGAAACGCATGTTAACGAAACTGAATATCGCAGCTTAAAGAAGTATTCTGGAATTCTTATATATAAAAAATCCAGTAATATATAATTATTAAACATATTACACAGTTAATAAAAGAAAGTTAACATAATATACAGTTAATAACAAAAAATCTTTGCCTTCTCTTAATTTGTCAAAAAAGTTACGGAAGTTATGGAGTCAAACAGCATTTTTTGTTTATTTGTAGTTGGCCTGACGTTACTCAGTGTCCCAAATATTGTAGTAAGACCGTATACACGCAGTATCATCTCCTTTAGTGAATCTACTATCTGAAACGTGTGCGTGAAACAGACCTATTCCTTTCTTTTTATCTATATAAGAGTTTCGCTTCGAACTTCAATAGAAAAAAAAGCTGGATAAAAACTAAGCTTTTATTACAACGAGGGTGGAGCCTTGCCACCTGCTCATCGGCATGTATATGTTTGTGTGTGTCTGACTGCTTTGCAGATCTTGGAATATGATTATTACGAAAGCGTAGGTCGAAGATATCATCAGAACTACAAGTATCGGAGCAAGCTTAGCATGGATTATACATTCGAATTTCCTAAGCAACACAATATTGTAAATACAACCGCTTCTCAAACTAACTAACCTAAGTAGGATAGAAAAATATATTGTGCGATATATGGAAACGAAATCAGATGGTTTAATCCAAAATGACCTCGTATTCCATTTGCATTACTCTTCGTTATAAATCGGGTAATATAATTTCGATTCGGAAATAAATAGGGAAAAAAAGAATGATTTAGCCCAACATATTTTGGTTAATACTGACGACGCTCCTGTCGTTTATTTTTATCTATATTCTCTAATAACTGCTTTGTCTAACCCTCGTTTCTTAACGTACACAGCTTCGAGAGGAAGCCCTTGCTTGTCGAGAACACGTTGCCATTTTCAACATGACCTATTTTGGGAAATTTTTATTGACTGGGCCAGATGCTCAGAAGGCAGCTGATTGGCTTTGCTCAAATGATGTCCACCGAAAAGAAGGGTCTACGGTATATACTTGCCTCCTCAATAAAAACGGAAGGGTCGAAGCGGACTTAACTTTCAGCGTACTGAAGGGAGATATAGGAGCGACCCCAGTTAATCCCGCATTTGATGGCGTTGGCTTCTATATCGTAACTGGTGGAGGACCTGCTCTGCAGGCGTGGACGCATATTAAGCAGGTAACGTACTGGTTCGGCCGCCGTTTAAACCAAACTGTAACCCTTTGAAATAAAGAACCTTTCTAGTTCACTCTAAGCCAAGGCATGCCTTTACTATTTTACATTTTTTAAGTAATTATTTATTATAAAAGTCACGCCACCTTAGTAGGCGTTCGGTATATAATGGGTGTTCGTTTCTTCGTTTGTAAACCTAAGAGATTCAATTTCAAATCGATCTGTTTACATTTTGTTTTTCGCGTTGGACTATTGTTTGTTGTGCGTATTGCTGTATGGGGGCGCAGACAATCGAAGACCAGCAATTTCAGTGCCACCTATTTGATTATTCAGACCAGATCGGAATATTGAGTATTCAGGGTCCACAGAGTCGTGAGCTCCTGCAGGCGCTTACGTCCGCTGATCTCAGCGATGAAGCATTTCCATTTTCAACGCATCAAATGATTAACTTCGCCGGCCATCCCGCGCGGGCAATACGCTGGACGTTTGTGGGCGAATTGGGCTGGGAACTGCATGTGCCCTATGACGGGATGCTTGACGTGTACAGGTAAGCTAGCGTACACAGACATCGCATTATATCGCAAATTAGCATAAAGCTTCTGATCTAAGTAAAGGCAAAAAAAGAGTTAACAAGCAGCATGCCGTCTTCGGATAGATCATTTCCATCCGTATTTATTTTTGTGGGCCGATCTATCGCAAAATAATTTTGATAGCCTCTGATGATAGTAATTTGTAAACCCACTAACTTTGTCAGTTGGGTTATATCAATGACGACAACTATTTCTACTGTGCTAGAATCGCCGGCACGACAAGAAGGGGGATGATACTTTGGCGATATATATTAAGCATAGGGGTCTATCAACTTTGTTTGGAAATTATCAATTTGAGTTCACTTTAAGATAATAGTAACTCCATTTGCAGATAATTTCGGGTTGTATAAATAAGCTTTTGGCTTGGTAGAGAAATACTACTTAAGTAAACCTATGCATGCCAGCCAATGATATCCGCGCTGCTGTGCAGGTCAAACTACTATATGCTAATTACAAATTGATAAGATATAAATAAAGTTGCGTTTTTTGCAGCATGATTATGGTGCCAATGATATGACAGCAAAGGCCAAGCTTTTCCAGAAAGCGGTTTTTTCATCGGAAAATTTCCGCCTGCTGCCAATGAGTGATGTAAATTCTTTTGCATACAACTCGGTAGTCTCTTCGATCCAAAAGATGTTAGGTGTTCAGTAATAACAATAAAATAAATTAATAACAACTGGCTACAACATATGCACGCACAATTATGATCGAAGATGAGAACGTTTAAGAGAATATCATCTTTTAGTTAATATGGATTCGAAGCACTGTCTCTGCTCGCTACATGGCACCCTATTTCGTCGAGATGAATCCCTACAGATCCCTACCAACTGTTACGTGCTCCCTGTTACAGGAGCACGTAACAGTTGGAAAGCGAGGTTTTCAGTTAGAAATTGCTGACCAAACTTCGCAATATGCACAAGTGATACACATGGCAAGAATAAAAGAACTAAAATATTTACATAGAACCAGCAACATTCAATGAGTGATCGACGAACCATCTACTGGGCAAGACTGATCTATCCTTACGGGGTGACCACTTTGTATCAACGTAGATAATGAATTTATAATGAACATATATACTGAGCAACTAGGTTTCAAAAGCTGATTCTACAGCAAAGTATAGAAACATTCAGGGAAACGACAAATACCATAGGTTTATTTGTTTTCAGAACAATAATGCGAGCCGGCGAGAAATTCGGATTGCGTAACGCGGGCTATCGGGCGTTGGATTCGTTGTCCATTGAAACAGGTAAGCACTGAATGCTGCTTAGTATATTTTTTTCGATAATCTTACTGGTGTGATATATGACAGATACATATTACATTGAGTTCACAGCCTATCTTCGATTGTGTAAACAGAGGGTTTTATAGGACCAAGTGAAAATATCCGTCTGCGTGATAGCGCGGTGAATAACGTGGTCGGCCTCTTTAACTCCCAGACACGTGGTCCTGAGTTCGTATTAGGGACGTAGACACTCTTCGTTTTGCGTTGGGGGCCAGCCGTCTAAATTGATGCTTGACAGCTGAAGTACCAAACATAAAACGCAAGTGACCGGCAAATGTATATAGACTTGCCGGACTTGCCGATTACTAACCAGTGGCGCATTTGGCTTCAAATAAGTCGACGCGTAACACTTTACCTTATTGGTACACGTTTTCCGTACCGCAGATCGCTCCTTCTGTAAATATTATTAATCTTCTGCCCTGATATTGAGTCCTTAACGAGCTAATTTGGTGCTTATGCTTTTGACCTGTAAAAGTATATATAAAACTTAGTGATTTTATCTTTACTTTAGGGACTCAAATTATGTGTAGTACGACAAATAACGCAGGAAAAACGTAGTAACCAATCAAGGCTAAGCGAGTTGATTACCCGCAAAAGTGTACTGATTGTCTTCCTTTAGCTGCTGTGTTTATTTTCACCGCAGTCAATGCTGTCACTTAACTCGTCGCTTGGACATCGCATACGGCCAATAGAATTATCGCACAATCACGGATGTGCTGCCTAAGGAGAGCTTGTCAAGTGGAACTTCATTAAAGTAATTTAAATTATATTGGATAGCTAAATGCTTGTACCTGCACATTTTTGCAACTAGCTAGCCATCCTTCTTGGTGAGAAGGTGTTCCGAAGAGCGATCTCGGAACGATCGGAAGATCGGAAGATTTCGAAAATTGACCAGACGAAAAGAACTAACGCATTACGCGTGTTTATGTGTTCACGTATAGGTAACTACCGGTTTACACCACGTGTCCCAATATCAACTGTGTTTCGCTTCCTCGTGCCTCTTATTAGCAGAAAATTGCTAACTTATTGACTTTTTTTTTATACGCGATGGACTTGCTGGCCTATCTTAACCATTCAGATAAATTATTTAGGCTATTATAGGAAGCTAGCTTGAGTTATGCCCATAAATGAATGACTGCGAATGGTGGTCTTTTCCTCATTCCAGCGACAATATTTGATACACGGACCAGATTCAGAGTAAAATGACCGGTGGCTTTTTCAATAGCGGATCGATCCGACGGTTTCGGTTCCGACAAGCCGTTTGACTATATCCTATTTGCTTTGTGGCCCTTCCGTATTTCATCCCGTTTCTTAAATGTGAGCCCGTTCAACCAATGACTGTGGGTTCACGCATGCTTGCTATAGTAGTTAGCGGCTCGTCACTCCATTTTATCAGCAGATGACGAAGCCAGTTGAAATTAGAAAAAATGCAGAGATTGGGTAGATTTTCAATGGATTTACATGGATTTATGTACGAAGACGTGAAGTTTAGGTGTCCGAAGTAACGAAGGTAGCAACTACCCGTTTATATCATACGTCAATGTGATCTGTTGATGCCTTAGATTAGCTATGCATAATTTGTACATGAGGCAGATTCAAATGTTGTGCTGAATGCCTCCCCAGTGTGTTGATTGGCAATGGTAAGTTGACGTCATACCAACTTAAAAGTATTACATGTGTCTGTAGTAAGTACCGTACAAATGATTGTATACAATCCAACCATTCTGATATTATATCAGATTGTAAGCAAACGAAAAAATATACATCGCATTAATGTGCATTTACTTGATATATCGAGTATGACCTCGAATATATAACGTAGATACGACCAGATTTAGCTAACTAATCAAAAGCAGGCCTCTTCTCAATCATTTATTATACGTATACGGTACCAATGAAATATGTGCCATCGAACGTTCATCGTTTAGGGTCTTGATTAAATAACATATACGTTTATCTACTTAATGCAACACCATGCGAAATGCACAGGAGGAACATAATTAAAGCCGCTGGCGTTGTTGAAATGCCGTGCTACAAAGGAAGTATCGCCGGTCAGCCAGCACATAAAGATGGCTTTATCCTGTTCGGATCAGCGCAGTCAAATAAAAGCAATAAATACAGGCTGCTGGAGATAAATCGTCCAAGCGTTCATTATGTAAATAAATAACTTCACTTCACCGGACAAAATCTCGGTCGGTTGTCTATATGCTTCATCAAAATAAAAACATATATAAATAGACTGTCCTGCATGTGCCGACAGAAGTATCCCTTACCAGCGTGTTTATTCAATAAAAGGGGGTCTAAGCCGCTCACAAATAACTTTCACAAATTGCTTCTCTGCATTTGCGAATATCTTCTTTAACACTAACCGTGTTCAAAGGAATGGTGTAGCGTGCAGTATCAACTAATGTAAATTTCGGACTAATAGTTGGATCAAGAAATGCAAGAGCCCAGAACGTGCAAAAGGATCAAAAGTCTAACTGTTAGCTGGGCTTGTTTAGACAACGCAGTTAGTAGTAGCACCAGGAAGAGCGCTGCACGCATACTCGCTATAACAAATTGCCTGCCAAAGTGTATCCCAATTTTCCCCGAACAACCCGTATACTCCGTATTATTCAGGGTGACGCTAGAAATAAGAATATATCTACTCTTTTTTTTTTCGGGATACAAAGATCGTCCACAGGTGGTATGTAGTGAATCGTGCAAAAATGCTCCCCCATTGCCGTCTCGTACTGTTAACGACTGACAGCAGCGTGGTAGTATGCATATCGATTAGTGCTGCCCGCGGGCGCTAACAGCTCTACCACGATGCCGATTAGTCACCACCACGAGACATCATCTGACCGGCATCTCTCACGGGGTCCCCTCATTTTTATTATAGCCGGCTAGTAGCTCTTCGTTAGTGTTCTATGCGACTGTTGCTACGACGATTGGCAACAATGATAATTCTACTACAATCAACAATCGCGGCATTGACTAGTTTGGGCCCCCTGCTCCGAGCCCAACGTATTAGACTTCCTTCCAGCTTGGCATCAGGTATTAAATAGTAACAACATAGATGTACCACTGTAACCGGCTATATTTAGGTGAACGTGGCCAGTGTGCCACGCTGTGTGGGAAAGACAGTTTACATCCACAGCATGGTGAAACTACATACCGTAAATGTACGACCTGGATTATGTGGCCGGCCACTGGCCGAAATGAGCATCGATAAATTTGTCGCTCCGCCGTGCAGTCCAGCGTTCCCGGCATGGCCGTACTGACATAACAGAATAAGCGCGATACCAATGCCGCACACGATCCGTCAATGGTTAGAGTAAAGTCGACCAGCACCAAGAGGCCGGCGGCATTACGAAGAACGACTCTCTCCCAGTTGGCTTCAACTCCCTTTCCCCAAAGCGGAGCGGACTAGTAATTTGCTTGTTTGAAAGAGGCCGCCGCTTGTCACGACGAGCGATTCACGGCGTCACCCTGGTGGAAATCAGACAGAAATATCGCTAGTTCGTTGTCCTCCTGATTCGTTCAGAGCCTGTAGCCAACTGTGCGGTGAACTAAACGGTGTCATCGTTGAAGTCTGTGGAAACCTGTCAACTTAAGCACCAAAATGAAGGTCGGCTACTGGGACATTCGTGGACTGGCACAACCTATTCGTTATCTGCTCGCTTACAAGGAGGTCGATTACGAGGACAAACGATACTCTTGCGGACCCCCGCCCGACTTCGATTTATCGCAGTGGTTCAATGAGAAATTTACTCTAGGTCTTGATTTTCCCAATTTACCGTATCTCATCGACGAAGATGTGAAACTCACTCAGAATTTAACTATCCTTCGATATCTGGCACGCAAGTACGATCTGGATGGCCAGACCTCTGAGGAGAAACGACGCGTGGATCTCATTGAACAACAGCTTACGGATTTCCGTACCGGCTGGGTGCGGCTTTGCTATTCACCTACGTTTGCTGAGGAACGCGATGCCTACGAACAAAAATTACCTGACTTGTTAAAACCATTCAGTGACTATCTTGGCGAAAGACCATACTTTGCTGGCGATCGTCTAACTTATGTAGATTTCCTCGTATATGAGATGTTGGCCCAACATCTCGTGTTTAGCAAAACTAGCTTCGCTGCCTACAAGAACTTAATCGACTTCGTTGAACGTATCGAAGCTTTGCCCACCCTCAAGAAGTATCTGGACAGTGACAGCTGCATCAAATGGCCCTTCAATGGAGACATGGCAAGCTTCGGTGGACGTCTACAGGAGCAACCGTTTTAGAAAGAAGAGAAATTATTCCTTTGATATAATGTTGTTAATGCGTGCATATGATGCGCGAAATCCCTACCTTCAAAGGAAAAGTGCTTTTCAATACAGATTTAACCTACGCCTATCAATAGGCTGATTGCTCCTGCCTAAAATTTTCAATAAAAATGTCACTAATTTATTACGACTACATAAACGAAAAAAAAAAGCGTAATTATTTGGAAAGTGTCCAGCCAACAGGCTTGTTAACTCTGAATGGTGTGTGGTAAAAATAAAAATTATTTCGCTACTGACACTAGTACCTTTTCCTTTTTCTGATCTATCCCAAATTCTTTTAGTGTTACTATACGATCGTGACAATCAGTGATCGCCGCTTAGATTATTAGTGCCAAAAAAACATTCGTACTATACTAGCTGCATTTTAGGAAAAATTTTTAGTTTAGAGAAGCTTTAAATGACGGTTGCCGTTACGATACGTTTTAATTCAAGTCATCAAATTGGTCTATGATAACTGATAAATTGGAATACTAGCAATTATGGAATAGTACAGATCGTACACATATCGCATACATTCCTTCACATGTTTGCTAGTTTACCAGGTAACGTGGCAAAGGGGCGTGGTTCACCAAAGCCGCCGCTAGCTTTGCGCAGATGTACCAGATGCATGAAAGTTCAAAGTCCTCCTAGCATTTATTTGTAGCTGCTTGCCAAGAGTAGCGGACGTCCTCTTAATTTCAATCATTTTTGGCTTTATCTGATCCAGGCATTAGATAAAAGGACATGCTGAAAATTCAGTCGCGACAACGTAAATACATTACAAACTAGAGCGTAGTTGTGTCCAAGGCATAGAATCATCGTGGTCCGAATTACATATGTCCAATATATTATAAACCGTGAACTGACATCCACAGATTTCGAATCGAAACATGTGTAGATCTATCATATATAAATTTCCGTTTATAACAAACTTTCTTATAGTATGCGAGTTTAACGATGGCCTCACTTTTGGTTTTGCGCTAAGCGAAAGCTATCTAAGTTTTTTTTTTTTCTTAATATAGAAACCGCAAGCACCGGACAAGAGTCTTGTATATATAATGGATAAAAGGGAAAAAAAAAGTCCAAAAACCGATATCATAAACTTCCAGCAAAAAAGGGACTGTAGATTTTTTGAAAGAGAAAGACCACCGAGGAGGGACAGTAGTGCATTTAGTTGCTTTTAGCGGTAGCCCAAACTTGACAAATACAACGTTTATGTCACATTAGAAATCGACTTATCTCTAGGCTTCCATTCTTACCTGCCTAAGTTTACTTAATTTCACAAGAAATATTTATTTCGTGTTCTTATCTGACGATAGAGTATGACCTTTCAAAATTATCAGTACAATAGAAAGAGGCCTTTTTATAATATAGGTCTAAATATACTAGGAAATGTGGACATTATATGGGTTACGTTTGAATTCATAACAGTTTAGTGCTCTATCCACTTGACATGATATGTGAGATTAACTCTCCACGGCATAACTTGCTTCGCTCTCGTTTTAAGATATGGCTTCTGACATTCACTGCAAATTGATTATACAGCCCGTGATTCTTATTCTACTTGGACTGCAATGCTTTGCCGACCTGCATTAGCTATAATTATTCAATGGTTTTGTAAAACGCTTCAAGGGATCAAGTCATCCGGAAAAATTATTCCTTTTTTTAAAAATACTTCTTTCTATTGTACTGATGATTTCGATTTCAAAAAAACAGTAGATTATTTAATACTACTTGCAGTACTAGGTAGTTTGTATAAATAGTAGATGTTCCTCTGTCTGTATTCACGCAGCGTTAGTATGGCAAACTATCGATGCAAAACTAAATTAGGAAGGTACTAGTTATCAAAGTACAACACAATATCTATTTGTTAGGAAGATGGTGTAAAGTTACTCGTTTGCAGCTTAACAAAAAGTTTAGGATCGGAGGCGGGAATTTCTCGTCAAAATTATATATATATATATATTACAAGATTTTGTACACATATGAGTTGTTAGAAACTAGAAGCAAAATCGCACCTTAACTGCAGGAGACTGCATATATTTTTTAAGTTGGAATATTTACAATGCATTTCAACTTTTGTTTACTGCCTATATTATTAGTTAAATTTCCGACTAAGTCAGCAGAGGGATCTCTGGTCCACCTTACGCTAGTAACATGCGCTACACGACGCGTGTGATTAAATAAAATAAACGTAATTAGTATGTTTTCTATACGCTTGCTATAGGGCAGTGCTGCATTTATTATTTTCTTTTTCAGGACATCCGCACTGGCAGTTCGACCTGCGCTTGGATGATACATTGCTTGAGGCGGGTCTCGGGTTCATCTGCAAACTTGACGAAGACATTCCGTTCCTTGGCAGACAGGCACTTGAGGACCAAAAAAAGCGGGGACTCCGGAAACGGATTGCTTGCTTTACAATAGACGAGTGAGTAAAAATGTTCTTTTATACATTAAATATAAATAACCAATACGCAATGCGTGACCGTCTGTGAATAAGTTTTCAATTGCCAATGGCGACTGTTAATGATACAACGATACTGTTAGTAAGCGCTTTTAACTTCGAAATTGTCAGGGCTTCTATGTGATCACTGTACAACACTTTTATTATATTTGCTCTTAACGGCTGCTTGGTAGGTTACGATGGCTTAATGTGTTTTCTTTCTCCGCGGGCCAGTCGTCACAATGTGTTGACGATTGTATGCCATTTTCCCAGAGGGAGCAATTTTCGAAGAAATGACAGTGAAGTTTCGAACAGACAATAAATAATTGTATTTGAATTTCTTTTTTCCTTTTTTGCGAGGGTGGCTGGTTCTGCGAGACATCAAGTGCATAGTAATTCGAGGGTCTTCGATAATGCCGTTAAACCATCGATGTGTTGCTGGCGGCGTTTTATCCAAGTAACTTGAAAAAAGAGAGTGGAATAGATTGGGGTAAAACTTACATGCGTTGCCAAGCTTAATATTTCTATTATGGCGTATATCGCTTATTCGACAGTTAAAGAATATGCATGCTTCTGGCTTAAAGAATGGATGGTTTTTAAGCCCCGAACTTTTGTCACCCCATTTCGGTAAGGTTCAAAAAAAGCGACACAAGGGAAGCGACGCGTATTTATTTCTCTCTTATGCATGACTCTGCTAAAAGGATCCCCAAAAAATGTAGAGATCCCTTTGAAAGCAGGTGAAGCGAAGAGTATGTGCATAGTGAGCTTATAGTATATCTAAATTTGCGTATAGTTTAAATCACCATGCAATACGAATATATTGAAATTTTTTATCTAACAAATTGCCTGCAAATTTTGTGAAGAGCGTAAATTTGGAATAGGGTTTGCCGAATAGCTAATAATAAGCAATGCGTTATATCGCGTACCGAACATCATTACCGCAGTCATAAGATTCACCAATTATGTCGGTGCCTACTACATCGAAAACGAATATGGAGCATGTGTGAGAAATTAATAAATAACTGGACTTAAATATTGTATAATAGGATGCAGTTTTTCTATATACTCATTCATTAGTCGCATGTCTACCTAACGTCTATAACTAAAATAGGATACTTTTTAGCAGACACGCTCCGCTCGTCGGTATGGAAGCGATTTACCGTAATGGTTGTCCTGTCGGATTCCTCCGTCGCGCTAATTTCGGTTTCGCGCTTAACCAGTCGATTGGTTACGGATACCTAATACATCCTGATCCCGAAGGCATCGCAACTGTCGACTGGCTCGTGCGCGGAAACTACGCAATCGAAAGTTATGGCCGGAGCATCGCAGCCAAACTTCACACTTGCAGCCCATTCGATCCTCAGGGCTACCGCATCAAAGGCCTCTACGATATGCACACGGCCAGACACTAAGTTCAATGTTATAGTGCTAAAAATAAGTGAATCTAACAAACACGAACGTGACTTATATTGTATTCGGTCAGAAAATAATGTTCAACGATGTTGCAATACCATACGTTGCTGAAATATGTTAACATAGAACACTGTTATTCGCGAACACTCTTCGCGTGGCGAACTTTGCAAAAACACCTCCACCCTAATGAGCTTCCGTGTCATATTATCGCTGTATGTACAAAAAAAAACGATTAGCTAGGAACGACTTCTTGTCCCTGTCTAATACCGGCCATAGTCGTAGGCGTGATTCAATCGGCAAAACAGCAACCAACGAATTATAAACAACTTTTCGACATTGTTGGATATTTATATATACATTACACATATAAGATTGGCTTATCTGCAACCTACTCGTAAGTTGTAGTAAAAAAAAAAAGTAAAAACGTTTCGTTTAACTGCGAAAAAAGAGTCAATAAAAAGAAAGAAAAAGGTAATGAGAGAGAGGGAGAGATAGAAAAAATACGTACATTACACATTGAAGCACGGAAAGATGAAGGTCATTTGTATATGAAAGTGGGGAAGGCGTTATTCGTTACTACGAAGAAAAGCGTTATAAACGTATGTAGTTTCGATGACATACCTTTCGTTGAATAAAATATTAAACTGAAAAAAATAAAATAAAGAATATTATTATTTTATTTACGTTGTGCATATATTTATATATATATATATAAACGTTAATACTGGCGATATTGTTTTTTTCGATCGAGAAAGTCGTTTGACACGTTTATTTGTCGTCATTACCTTTCATTACCTTTTGAGTGCAGATATATTTCCTTAATAATTCGTTCATCATTTAGCTTCATTAATTGTCACTATTTCGAGACTGTCCGTTTCTGTTAACCTAACTCGCATCGGAATTTCAGTGGGATTGCGTATCAAAAGCGGAGACTATATACAGTTATCGTCCAAAAAGATCTCCTCTGCTTTTATTAGACACTAAATATCTCTCGTAAACCAAGATGTTTACGCGGAATATATTAGTTATTAAGCTCTTTATATATTTACTAATAGTTAATGTTCCTGTTGAAGTATCGTATATATTTGCTACAAAAACAACAAATAATATACAAAAATAATGATATATAGTATTCTATACTATCAAGTTTACATGATTTTTTTTTTATTATTAAATTGTTCATTAACTTTTATGTATGTATATCATCGAAGTAGCCGCTCTGTATCCCGCCCAATAGAACACTAGTATTTGTGAAAGGCACATACTTTCTTAAAGCTTATTTCACTTATTTCTTTTAAACATAAGCTGAAGTTTTATGTTCTGTTGAATAGATTGTTCTCTGTGTTGTATGGATTTCAATATCGCAAACTTCTCAAAAGTATCGCTTTTTATATCGTACCATCGTCGACGCAATGGCATCGATGGTCAAGCGTTTGCTTGAAAGAGTTCAAAAGTCGGTGCTTGAAGTCCTGTTAACGACACATACCACATAAACTGTGTGTAGTGTATTATTTTTCTTATACACCATCACCAGTGTTAACTAGTCATTTCGCCATTACTAAACAAAAACCGTCCGCCCATAACCAATGCACGCACGGTCTCAAACCTTTAATGGCTCTGAGCCATGCGGGGAGTACGCTTCGAAGAGAAACGAAACTACCAATACCCAAACATTTCTTCCTTTCCTACAGTTTCTTGGCTGCGAGGGCAATTGAGCAGACACATAATCCTAGCGGCAATCAGTGGCTGCTATATAGGTTTTTGTAAGTGTGGCGGCCTAAGTGTTACAGATAGCAAGTGTTCTAACAGTCGGGTTGCCGTAGGTTTCATTACAGGTTGTTAATCTTTGCTGCGACTCGCGGAATTTGGCAGGGATTGAAATAATTCCGGTGATCTTCCAAAAAGTTCTCTTCATATATAGGTAAAGGCAGGTTAGCAAACCGTGTGTCCTCGTGGCCTAATGGATAAGGCGTCTGACTTCGGATCAGAAGATTGCAGGTTCGAGTCCTGTCGGGGACGAATATTTTCTTCAACTTTGTTATGTAAAATCTGTTTTCCTTGTTGATTTTTTAGTACATGAACCACTTCACAATAATATAATCTTTCCAAAAAAATTTTTCCTTCTATTTTTATACTTACGTAGTTCAATCTGCAATAATAGTTTCCGGTATTTATATCTGGCCCACTAAAATAGAGCACAATGGTTTCAGTATAATACAGCAGTTAATAAGCGTAACATTCAGCGAGAAATAGGTTCTCACTACCTCGTCTAGGATCTGCTGATTTTTTCTTTATACATCGCGCCATACGTAGCTTAGAAGCTATTAAAGAATGTATTTAATAGGCTATAAAAACTATTAATAACAATTTTTTTCAAAAGCAACCTAATAATTATATGATGATTAATAACGGCTCAGTCAAAAATGCAGTGTTCTTACCATCTAAATTGACTTTTAAGTTTGATAAATAACTGGTGCACAACAAATTTCCGTGAAAAAAATATTAATATAAACAGGAGGACCTGTCGGAACACAGCTAATCCGTGTTCTCATATCTTGTCGCAATGGGAAGTCTTTAAAATTGTATATATATTTATCAAATCACTAGTGCTCGGCCAAATAGTGTCCTTCAAAATCAGGCACAGGGGCGTTTTGGCATTAATGTTTACGAATTATACTCATAAGTACGTATACATGCAAACTAAAATTATTTTTTTCAGCTCACGGTACTTTCGAATATAACGAAGTTGCTTTTAGGCAGCGTCCTCAGACTAATGAGCCAATAAATAAATAGAGATGTTGGTGTTCAGGGTTGGTTTTATAGGATGTCAAGGTCAGTGTCCTGGGATAGCGGAAATTACAAATAAATGACGTCATTTTAATGAATCGACGATGATTTACGTGGCCGCGTAACGTATGAGAAACACATTAGACTCGCCTGAACTACCACAGCTGATCGCACGGTCAATAAACTGACGTCATGAAAAGTCGAGACAATAATTCTGAAAACTGTTTCTCGACAACTGGTAATATGACTAGTGAAAACAAAAAATGTCGATTAAAGCTACACTGAAACCACGAGCAAGCCGTAAACGACTAATCGCAACCCTTTTAGTTCAAATGAGATGTACCAGAAAACTCAACTGGAACTTTGCCAATAAAAGCTGTACTATAAAGCAAAATATGCCCCTGCTTGTTATGTCTAGTACGCTCTATTTGTTTAACAAGGCCAACTAGGCGGAAAAATTGCTTTGAAAAATTACAGTAAACTGCAATGAATCATGTGACAGGAATTATTACCTTTCTAGCTTAGGCTTTAAATTTTCCAAAGATAGTTTTTGGTATAAATATTTTAACGGAAAGAATTTTATATTTGTTTACTTTATAAGCCAAGGGGTCATCCTAAACTATTCAAACGATTACTATTACCACACAGTGGGTTAGGCTCAAAGTAACACTACGTACGGATCGTGTGATTACACGCCATTAAAACCTATTTCTACCTAGAGAAAAAAAACACCGATGTTTTAGTGAAGTATCGCACTTATATATTTAAACAAGTTATCTATTTTTATAAATACGCTAGTACAACTTAGACCGACTGAATTTTACTTCAAGAAGCTTCATTTTTACCGGCGTGTGTTGAATCTGAAAACACACATACACACACGTATTATATACATTTAAACGTCAATTCAAAACTCTAAAGAACAAAAGTCCTAAAAGTGCTAAACAAAAAAAAACTCTACTAAATTTATTGTCGGAATTATTAATTAGCCGCTTTGGCTGGATATTCCTCTTAATTAAAACTTTCCTCACCTAACGTGAAAATACAGATATGTATGCAACAAAACATTTTCTTCTCGATATGCAACAATTATTGTTAAAAGAATTAAGTGCATAATAAATGATTAAAAAAAAGCGCTAGACACTGTCTACAGGCAATGGTGTAATGAAAATTGATGCAATTTGGAGAATATGTGGTCTCTTCATATTATTTCTTCAAAAGGATGCAGCATGGTCACGGCATAAAGGAGCAATCACTTACCAGGTTATACCAGCGGCTGACATGGACGTATCGTTCCTTCTCGTAATACGTCAGTTTCGCCTAAAGAAATAGCAGAAATAAGAAATAATTTAGAAAATCACATCACTGATGTTAATTATAGCTATTTCCTTCTAATTAAATCATTAGACTCCGTTGGTCGCCTTCGGCGCTATTGCATGTTTCATTGGAATCAAACCTAACTCACTAAGTAAGGATATCGAGTACGAAAATAAAGCAACAGTTTAAAAAGAAGCGGCAAGATGAGCGCACTAATGCCCAGGATAAATACTTATAGAGCTTGATTTCGCGCATGGCCAAAATTAATTAACCTTAATTTTAATTTTATAGTTATAAATAGTTTTAATTTAAAAATTAACCAAGCAACTGAACTATTTACTTAAAATTTTGTTCGGAAACCCTCTTGTAGCTTAAATTGCATATGCTACAAAATTGGAAGCATAATCTTGAGCATACGTCAGCAGAAAAGTTCATGATATTTACTATAAGGCTGTGCACAGTATAGAACGCGACAACATCAGCAAGGGTGAGGCGGTGCTGCGTGAGATAGACACGGTTTTCAAGGAAGGAATTAAGTTCCTTTAGGGCGGTAGCAGCCTGGTCACCCTGAAGATCAGGCCCAAAGCGCAGACTCCATTCGACAAATTGGTAGATCTTAGCTTCTTCTTCCAACGTCTCACCTTTGAAAAAAACCGCAAAAATAACAAGACTGTTGTTGGGATCCACTTCGATCTTATGTTCTACAAGGTTACTACAAGAACGGATTTTCCTCAAGTACTATTCACATATTTAATTAGCACGATAGTAGGTATTTATCGGAAGGGAGAAGTGGCATGTGACTTAATCATGTATTTCTCGAAAGAACTTCGTAGATTAAAAATATCTCACGTAATGCTCAATAAAATGAATAAAAAAAAGTTTACGAAATGTTTAGGCCGCGAAAAGTGCGTAAAGAAAGGTGGCAGCTATGTTCATATTTAGCAACGCTTACGTCCAACCCAAAAGTACCTAATATCACAAAATATGGACATTATACATTGAATGTATGGTTGCAAAAAATGCGACTTTTTTGTTTTGTAATAGGCCTTCAGTCAACGACAGCATCGATTTAATAGCGCTATAGAATTGCAGGCCGTTACAATATTTCACGCCGTTCAAAAGTAACTGCTTACCGAAAAGCTTTTTACGAGTACACTTGTCCTTAAGTACAGGAAGAACTTCTAACAGCGATATTTCGCGGTCGTTGGAGTCCACGAGCTTCGCCTCCTTGTGCTCCCATCGAATCTTGACAACTGAATCCGCCTCGATGAATTCGACAAAATTAGGAATCATGACGTTAGTCATCTTGCCGTTACCCTGCATCAGATAAAAAAGGGAAAACAAATTTAATACATAATTCGATTTGAAATTCAACTTTCATTCGTCTGGTAAATCAACTATAGCTACACTATGCATATATATATACCAAAACACTGATAATGTGCTCTGTACGGCATAAAATTATCTTATAAATCTGGCATCTATGACAGGTACTTCTCCGCTACACTATTTTTTATTTTGAATTTTTTTTAATTATACATGTAATTGTTCCTTCCGGATATTTAATGATGCATGACAGCTATGTAAATAATTCGTTTTTTTCACCTCGTCATTGTAATGCTTCATCATCCGATATATGTACTTCGTATTGAAACTGGATCAATTGACTCGAAAAAACTGCTTTCAGAAATGTAATTAAAGTAATCATGATTACTTTGCCTTTCAGCCCAATTGTTTTTTTTTTTAATAGACTATTTTAGCTAGCGATGCAACAAAAATTGTTAAAATAGTAGCTACGATTCTCCCAAAAATGTGTACGTAGTATTATTATTATAATTGTAAACATACACACACATCAACTGGTTGTCAACAAAAAGATTACGTACGTGAACACATCGGTACTTACGACGAACTTTACAAAGACTCTGAGCGCTACTTACACTATGTAGATACTTTTTCTTAGACGTTCGAATACCGCACCGATAAAGTGGCCGCATTTATATCTCTATGAACGCATTTGATGCCATATGTAAACAAGCCCATCATCATCAGGTCAGACGAAACCGCTTGGGGGTAAATTTTTCAGTAAAAATCGTACATTTCCACCCAACGGTTTTATTAGAATCGTTCAGTGTGTAGATAAGTATTGTGTGCGCCTTGTGGAGTACGCTTAAACGGTAAGTAACACTGAAATTTGTCTACTGAATTGAATTTAGTTTGATCGTGTTTTTGAGTGTAGGCCAATTCTGGCGCGCTTTTCGCCCAGTATGTACGAGTATTCGAATGATAGAGGACATCAGGCCATCGCACAGTCGCCGGATTAGCGATTCTAAGTAAGGTAGGTTCCTCGTTTTGCTAAGTTTATGAAGGTCATAAATTAACTGTTGCATAGACTCTCTGCAGTTTGTCAATTATTTGAGTAGTTCATTCACATCTTAGGATGCTGAGTTGCTAATATTTTAAGCAAATACGAATTGCAGCTGAGGTCCTATTATTAGCGCAATACCTAATGAGATTTGGCGTCGTCTAGAGTCTATTTTTTGTCTATCAGCATGTGTCTACGATTGAATTAATTTTGAATCATTAATTTTTGGAATGTGATAAAAAAAATTATATATGTAGCATTATGGCATACATCAATTATATTTCATTTAAGAATGCTGGAAGAAGACTATAGTGCACGTGAAGTAAGAACTAGAGGACTTTGAGGATTGTTTTGATATAAACTCATTTGAGAATTTTCCAGTTACCGTCCAACGAAGTTTCTTTAGCATACAACGCATACATTTTTGTTGTGTTTACATTACTAAGTATGACAACGTGTTGTCTCTGCTTATTTTTGTTTCGCTAAGTACGTGGTCGTTCAGAACGAGTAAATATCTCAAGTATTTTATAGTATAGTTTAAAAATATTTATAGATATGGTTCATAATTTTATTCCCGAAGTGCTCCTAAGAGTAACCACGGTCTACGCGTGTTTCCAGGTTTGAGGACGAAACAAGGCAACTTGTCATGCGATGTTTATGAAACCACGCCCATTCGTTCAGCGGCTTCTGAATACGATTCCAGGCAAGCGCTTGCTAGGCCCATATCGATTGATGCCGATATTTTTCTTAAGTGGAGCTGCGTTGGAGTTCTCAATGATCAACTGGGAGGCAGGCCAGAACAAAACAAACTTCTACAAAACTTATAAAAAGCGTGTCGTCTCAGAGTTAGCCGAAAAACAACTGCAATTAGATGCCACGAAAGTATCTTAACTTGGCTGTCAGTGAACAGGTCGTTGAATCTTGTCAGTTTCGACGAATGTTTCAGCTAGCAAGAGCGTACTCGTAATTAACGGTCGACTAAAGATCGACTATCAATTCGATATCAAGCGTCATAGCCAGTGCAAGGACACGCGATAAACAGGCCGTTAGACGACGACGTTAAACGAATGTCTTATTCAAAAACGTACATGGTGATCTACGGAATTACTAGCCTAGTTAGTATGATGTTAGGTGCCCAATCAGTGCATCTGCTGTATCGGCCTTTAGACGATCTAGGCGTCCTGGTGGAGGAAGAGAAGGCCAGGATTAAAAAGGAACGCAGCCAGCTGCAGTCGTCGACGGCTACTAGTTAGAATGTGAGGGATTAGTTATGACACATATGGTTCATGTTAGCTAAGCCGTGGGCTTACTGATGCTAATGTCTTAATTGTAGCCATATTCGGTGTGCTTCGCTCTCAAAAAGGGTTTACTATTTTGTATGTTATATTCTATAAATAAAGCAATAAAAAAGAATGATACTATTGTGCAGAGCAGTTCACGCTAGCAAAACAAAGGTAACAGTCGGTCTGACGCGGGCACTTTTATTAGCATATTTATTGCTCTTAACTGTTTACGTTAGTCGGGCAAAGGGTCTCGTTTCTAAAAGATTTCGCTTTGATGAGCAGTGGCAGTGTCCCACACTTTATCCGACTTTATTCTGCGAAGATATAAAAGATCTAAAAATTGTTTCCTGGATAGCTCAAGGTACGGTGAAAAATGTCTATCTCGCACGGTGGCATGATTACCCTGTAGTATTGTCCAACCTGACGGTTGAAGCATACCGAGAAGATTTTCAACATAATGTGGCCATGCACCACCTCCTCGATTATGGACAATATACTGTTCGAATGTTGGGCCATTGCGGGGACCAGATCGTGACCGAGTTTCACCCCCTAGGCAATCTTATGCAGGCCATACCGCTACTAGGTGACGTTCTCGAAGTCCGATTCCCACTTTGTATACGCTACACAGAGATCTTGGTGTTCCTCCATCAACATGGTCGGGTTATGTGTGATTCGAGTACGTTGGAGAAAACTCTGGAACAGTACCTTGTTGCAACGAGTGGCAGCAGCATAATTTTGAACGATTTAGATGCTTTACCCAGGAAAGAATTAGGGGTTGTTCGCTGTGGGAAGCATATGCTCGATGGCGCGTTTGTCGCGCCCGAACAGCGGTGGGAAGTTGGCTACCGAAAGGGCTACAACGAGAAGGCGGATGTCTACAAAATCCCTGACGTGTGCAATTTCATCCTCGGTGAAAGCGAAGAGTCGCTTTGGTTCCGTTATTGGTTGTTTGATATTCACAAGCAGTGTAAAGTCCAGGATGCTAGCATACGACCAAGCGCTAAAGACGTCTTAAAGATGTATCGCAGAATCTGGAGGGAGTACCAAACGGATACAGGAGTAGATTATGATGACCTTTAGATGAAATGGATTCATGTTAATAAAATTTCATATATTATACTGTATGAGAATCATTTTCTGACTAGTTGGTGGTAAAATATATTTTACTACTATTTAAATCGAACGGGCATTAATGCCCAAAGATTTTTTTAGATTTCTGTTGTCCAGTGAGGTTATTCTAGCTTGCTAACACATCACGCACACTCATCTTTATTAAATTACCTTGTTTGTAATTATTTACACATAGAGTTAATGTGTGACAGTGTTTCAGTTTTATCAAACTCCAGCTTTCTCTCAACCTACAGTAACTTCTACTTCAGATGGCGTGATTAGTTTTGTCCATTTGCTATTTAATATATACAGCAAAATTACGTTGAGGCTATTAAGTTCGTGTGTCTCGCATTAGACAACTACGTTTGCTGATAAGTAATTACCCATCGCTGTTTGTTTCACCGGTATTTCACGTAGAACCAACATTTCACTATAAACTTAGTTTGCCTCTACCCTCTAAATCCTTTAACTCGAAGGGTTAACTTAACAGTTCGCCTATCATTGAATTCTTAGGTATTTAAATGAAAACAATAGTATTAGCCCTGGTTCAGTTTGTCCCTCAAGTTTAGGAAATTAGACTAATAAATTGTTACGTTAATAAGATTGCCCTGACATGTTTGAGGGGCATAGTAAAGCCAGCAGGCGAATCTGGTATGTAAAAAAATAAAACTAATGTTATAGCTTGCGAACCTCCCTTTTTTACGCAAGAAAATTAGTGGAACTTTTTTTTTAAATATATATTTCTATAGTTCAAATAAAATATATGCATGCACTGACAAAGTGTTATCATGCCCATGACGTTCAATCAAATAATCTGAAGCATCGTTGATCAGTACGACTCTGCCGAAAAGGCGAACTTCAAACCGCTGTTGGTTTGTTGAAGTATGTTCCCCAGGTGATGAAGGGTCCGGAGAAAGAGTCGCTCGTTTTGAGGGCTGACACACAGGACATGTCTGAAGAAGGTACACACTGCGCAAGACCACCTAGCCAAGACAGTGTAAGTATACATAACTTCAGCATCTGTTATTGCAGCTGGACTAAAAATATTAAATCTAACAAGACAAGTTCAAAATAGGTGAGTTTCAGGGCAAGTCGGTCTATAGGTCAAACCGGATATATTAATCTGCACTATTGCGTTATCATTTGAAACGTTTTAGTTGACATACATAAAGGAAAGTGTTATTTGCTCCGCGAGTGGGATCCCAATATTCAGCGCAATGGGGTCTTTTACTGTGTAGATATTGCATTATTTTGACAGATCGAAAAACAAGTGTAGGCAACAACGGGTCTAAGAAAAATATTTTTATACGCTGTTCGATACCAACTAGTTAGAAATATCTTTCGTTATAGAATAATATATTTAATTTATTTTTGCTGCAGATACCCGTTACCCAAACCAGCTGTATAAGCTCGGCGGGAAGTAATTGCACGCAATCACAGATTACCCAAGAAAATGACCTACATTCTCAATACAGCTCGGCAGACAACGTTGTGGAACCTGAAATTGACAAGAATGACTTTCCTGACGATGAACTTCAAGTAGATGCGACTGGCCGACAAGATTCTCAAGGAAGTACATTGAAAACTGTCTCGCACCCCCGAACCAAACCTAGCGATAACGGTGGCTATAAGTGCGCAGTTGTTGGTATCTCTTCAGATATGGTAGGAGGTTATAACTCGATAGCGGATGATTATGTCAAAAAGAATCCTAATTATATGGACGACATTCCTTTTGAAGATTTTGAAGTTGAAGAAATGAATAGATCCTTTGTGCGGACGGAAACCTGTGAAGACAATCATAATAGAGAGGAAAATAAAGCGACCGAGCGAAACGAAAATTCGCTTTTAGATTTAAAGCCTAACATCACTCTATCTCAAAAAAGAAAGGACACCTCGGCAGAACATTCGATGGGTGGCGAAAAACAAGATGATACGAGTGACAGTGATCAGAGCGAAGACGATCAAAATGACGAACTCAAAGAGGTACTGGCCGACGAAGACGATGATGGATTTAATAAGGGTAAGTATAACAGAGTTTATGGCGTAAGGATGTCGTCTCTATTCGACCAACGTAGTCTATCTAATACAATCAGAAATGGGTCAAAGCTAACGGACTTCTTTTCATGAACTGCTCGAGAGCGCATCGCTTTTTGCAGCTTGCTTTAACTGTTGAGGTCTATGTTGATGCGTTGCAGGACCAGAAATCTCGCTGCCATACAAAGAACCGGAGCAGTTGTCCCTACAAGAGTTCCTGGCAAGGCGCCGAAGCAAGCGTGCATCTGTATCCCAGCAGCACGTTCAACAACAGTCCGCATCCATTGAACACATTCAAACAAAACAAGCCTTTGTCGACGAATTACAAGACCCAAAAAAAAAAACACAAAACGTCGCGTCGACACTCGATCACTCCGAAATCGCAAGTCCCTTGGTAGTGGGTTCAATTTCAACACAGCGTAAAAGTAAACTTCATACAGAGATCCTCAAAGCTGCGGCAAAGGTCACTCCTCAACTGAGTTGCAGCGGTATTATTGACACTCCCGTTGATAAGCTGATCCAACGAGCGATCATCATGAACAAGAGCATTCAAGACGCGGGAAAGGTTATTGATCCAACACCCGGTTCCCAACTCAAGGATCTCAAGGACCGACTTAAGGTTGAAATTATTAAACAGCGACGACGGATCAGAATGGAGCGCGCCAGTGCTGTTCAAAACAATGACGAAGCTGAGGAAGAATACGAAGAAATGACTGATAACGAAAATGATTGTGACCCAGATGACGAGGTAGGTTATGATAGTGAGGAGAATAGGTACAGTCAGATACATTTATGCAACGATAAATACTAAGTAGATAAATTGCTGATATTTGAAATACGTTAGAAAGGTATATTGTATACGTGTACTGGGCTAATCAAAGTAAAATGCTATTTCAGTTTTACTTGTCTGTTATCATTTCAACTAATTTCTAATAAAATCTACATAAAAAGTCAAATGGTACATATACAAGTTAAAAACTTTAGCTAGAAAACGAGTGACATTCTCATTAACTGGTTGACTAAATTTTACATGGCTTATCAATGGCTGAGAACTTATGTCATCTAACTCTGTAAGCTTAAAATGTTTAAAAGTGAATTTCAAAAGTAAATGAAGAAACACGTGTCTATCTTAGGAAACACTGCTTGATAGAGTGGCCAAGGAAAGCGATGCTGAGGATGAGGAGCGAAACGAAAAGGCCCTTGAGGATGATGACGAGGTCAGTGGCGAGGAAGGACACACTAATAACAGTAACGATGAGCAAGTAGAGAACGGTAAAGAAAATGAAGACGCTTATGGAGAAGATGAGGCTTCAGATATAGAAGACTTCACTCTAAGAAAACTCAAGTCACGGAACAATAAAACAGGAAGGCACAGAGTCAACGCAGTGCAGGACAGCGACGACGGTGAGGACTTAAGTGGTCCTGCAGTGAACACCCCAGACGATGAGTTGAACCTGCGACTGGATGATGACGGTAATTTTAGGTTATTATTATTAGTATAGATCTATGATGCAGAGAGATTATCCTATCATTCCTATAGAGTAAAGTAAAGTAGTACCTTCTCTTTAAATAAACTATTAATATAATCGTTGATCTACAGAGCAGTTTTCTAAAATTAAGACCATTGCTTGGTAAAAGAAAGTGCATCCAACCGACTATGCTTGAGACAATAGCATAACAACCGTTGCCCCTTTATAGAGGAAGATGCAAAGGATATGCGCTTGTCGCAAACTCAGAAGCCGAAAACACAGAAGATTAATGGCATCTCAAAGCAAAAACAGCTTTCGACAGAACTGTTCGCCGACGACTTGACGGCAGAAGCTAAGGTGGACGACGATTTACTAGCGCTATGCTCTGGAGAATTCGTCAGCCAGAAAGAGGAGAATGGTGAGGGCAATGATCACGAGGACGAAAGCCTGGAAAGTTACGAAGCTGTGGGGGATGCGAACAGCTATGAAGAGGACGATGAGATTGACGATGAAGTTGAGGAAGAGCTGAAGAGAGAGGAAAATGAAGAACTGAAGGCATATCGAAAATTGTTAACAGTCGAAAATAGCGAAGAAGACAGCGAGGATCAAGATGACATTGAAAATGATGATAACGGTGAAAAGGAACAGGCTCCCGAGTAAGTACTCTTATTCGAAATTGTATGAAGTAAGGCAGGTTTTTGTTGGCAAACAGAAATCAATGTTTGGATTTTACCTACTCTGGCTCAAGCAGTTAGGGCTTAATAAAAGGGATTAACACAATTTGATTCATATACAATATTATATTTATTACATATCCGACTCTCCATTCATGTGTCGGATATTGCAGAAAAGCTGCAGACTTTTTCGAGGGCGAAGCCGAACTGTCTGGTTCAGATGTTGGGTCGGACGATGAGGACGAAGATAATATGACTGAGGATGAGAAACGGCGATTAATTCAGGACCTTATCTCGGAAAACCCGGGAATATCGGACGAACAGCTGGAGGAACAGGTGAAACGCCTGCACGCTAAGTATGTGCACGCCGACGACCAGAAAGAGCTTCGCATGTACAAGGAGATGTTGCTAGCTGACGGAGATCTTCACGAAGATGGTCCGGGAAGGGAACGACGCTTTCGTTGGACAAATTTGAGCAATGATTTTGTTGGCGGCACCATTGAAGAAGATGGATCAGGTAAGACAAATTGCCTGCTATAGAAATATAAAAGTTTCGTCATTACTATTGGTAAGGCACTTATTTACAAAGAAATTTTACAAGCACTGTTTGACTATTCAGTTACTGGGCATATTTATAATATTTATAATAAAGAGGGCCCTTTCAGAGACAGATAATGTACAATATAATATGGGAAAATAGCAGTGTGAGGTCGTTGTCGATATTGCTTGGGGCGTACACACAATAAAAAAAAATTTACCGCCGGTATTGCACTATCATCTCATCAGAAAATTGCTGGCCTTCAGAAAGAAATTCGATTTCTTACATATAAATAGGACCTGATGTATAACAAAATCATGCATATTTCATATGTCATTTCTGTGCCTATCGGAATCAGATGTTCTACAGATCTGACACTAATAATCCATCGCTAAGACTACCTTAGTTTTTTCCAAAATTTAACATTTGGTTGATAACAACTACCTCTAAACGAGCTGCCGTTCGTTGTTTGTTCCTTTATGCAGACTGCGACATAAACGAGGAAACTGAAGAAGAGGCCAAATGGAAAGCACGCCGCATGGAGCTTGAAAAAAAAAAGAAAGAACAACAACCCCTTGACTATGTCGATGGTCGAAGCCTGAAAACTGCAGCCGCTGATAAGGTGAAAGAAACTCGTACCGATGAGGGCTTGAACATCTCACGAGTACTGCGAGACGCCAATAAGGCCCTGAAGATTGCCTATCCAAAAAAGAATCAAGACGCCCCCACCAAACGGCCTGTTAGCGGTGGTTTTCTTAACATGACCAACAGTGTCTTGGAACGAATTGCTGATAAGGTCAAAGGTTAGTAGTTGCTAAATTACATGTAGTGTTGCGTCCATTGCTTGTTCGTGTGTCTGAAGATAAGCCAAGTTGACACGAAAATTGTGTTTGTTAATAACTTGTCACTATATAGAGTACTAATTAATGACAAGCATGTAAATAGAATTCTGGATACGAACAACGCTAACTATGCACGCACATGATCAGTTCTAGTCAGCACACGCTCTCGTAGTGAATTTTGGTTATTTATATGAGTGAATTGGATTTTAATACCACTTCTACTAATGCCGAAGTAATTAGACGAACATATTTCTGAATTGTCATTTAAATCACTGTTCTCATTTTATCATCAGTTTTACTTAGAAACGGTGTCTTTGAGTGGAGTAAACAAGAGAATCATCTAGCAAAGGTGTAAATAAAGTAGAGTCAATGTCGAAATGAAGGACAATAACGCTTGTCTCTATGCGTTGTCAACCTGAAGCAAAATTTGAGGGCCGTGTTGTGGTATCGAATTAGCCCTATAAATAACTGCCTATGTCTTGCTATTAGACAAGGCTACTGGGGATTTTCCACTCAATTGATATCTAAGCCAGTCACCTTCTTAACTGATTAAGTTAAAACTTCATTGACATTTTAAGTTTTGATGTGCACTTATTTGCTCTTTTTTGGCCTTTTTTAGGTAGCACGACAAAGGAAAAGGAAGGTTCTCAGACAACGAAGAATTTCGTTTTTCGCACTGTTGACAGAAAAAGAGAAGCTGGAGGAATCAGCTCCAACAAAAGACCCGGTTCGGAATCTCCGTTTACAAAAGCGCCAAATTCAAAAAAAGCTAAAGTTGATGATAATGCCAGTAGACGATCAAGCCAAAGCGTTTTCAACAAGTTTTGAGTATTTTCTTTAAATTGTCAGAACTGCGCGCACTGTCAGAATAACGGTCGTCCCGAATATGCAGACGGTAAAAGTTTGGCTCTCTTTGATAGTCATGATTCCCAACAAGGAAAGAAAGGACCACATGTTCTATGCAAATCTTTCGTTCATTCACTTTAAAAAAACGGTGGGTTTAAAATATCGTGCGTCGCAAATATTTTTTTGCATGACAACTTTATACGGGCGTTTGAACTGTTTACAACTATCTACTCATAGACATAAAATATTTAGTTTTTACGAATGTGGCTGCATAAAGGTAAATGTGTGCTAAACAAAAAGAGGCGATTATTAACCACATACTGCAATTTGCTCCAATGTGCGCTCATTGGGTGGGTAATTTTTTTGACAAACGTCGTCTGTGTTTGATGTTTTGTGTATGGAATGACAGCTATTATTTAGGATTTTGTGGTGTGGTATAATATTAGTCAACCGCAGTGAGCTATAACTTTGTAGACTCCTATTTGTGTGTACGTGTGCGTGTTTGTGGACAATCACTAACTATGTTTATCTTGAAATAAATGTTTGTTTTTGCAAGCCAAAGCCATCTGCCTTATTTAAATTGTATTCTCCCGATTTGCCCCGAAAACCCCGACTGCTACCACAGATAATGCAATCGTGCGATTTCTCTGATATCGTGACGAACATCGTTGTAGCAATGATGCCATAGTTTGCGTGGGCAAACCGTCGTCGAGCCACAAGTTGCCCTGTTCAGCTGGCTGTCTGTACGTGCGAGTATAGCAGAAGTAGTAATCAACTATTGCGTACGCAGATTTATTCTTTGACAACTGCGAGGCTATGGCCTGTATCAGTCGAAGCCCTTCTCTCTCATGTCTCTAAACCTAATGGTTGCACTGCGTTCTTGTAGTGCAGAGCTGTTGTTACATTTAACCATATAATAAGTTTATGAAATGAGGTGGATAACAACAGGACTACTGGTTCATTAGGTGTAGTCTCTTAAGAACTCTAGATAAGCACTTTTTCTATATGTATGTATATTATAATAATAGCATTAACCGAGCTATACAATAAGCACTCATAGTGCGAACTCTTCACTGTCGTCGCTGAACCATTTTCCAACCAAGGCACTATTTAGATTTAAGTAAAAAGTAGTTACTGAAAACCAACACGGGTAGATGGAATATACAATATTTTTGAACTTTAATTTTCTAACCTTAACAAAAAACAAGCTACCGTGCTTAAAAAACAGAAGGTTTGTCTTGACCACCCCGAACCTCTTTTCAGGTACAGCCGCATTGAGAATAAAAACAAATCAGTGCGACGATTGCCCTCCATTTCTTTAATGCTAGCAAAATTGTTAGTTTGGATCACATCCCATAAATAAATAGTTATAATATAGTTGACTAATCCTTTCGAATAGGTAAGCTTTTGTCTTTAGGGGTTTATTTGAGAATTATGGATATTTTTAGGCAAATGAGCAGTGGGTGGCCGATTTTTATCTAATTAAGGTCAACTCTAAAAGCGGTTCTGCACCGAAGTGGGAAACCGCAGTACCTATCCATAGATTGAGCTTTTTTGCGTAGTGTGTATCGTAACTAGAAAGTATTTGCCTTTTAATAATTGCCAGGACTTCCAGGGTCTCAAAATCATTCATTTCACTACATTGTAAGAATACTTCGTAAACAGTTAATCCACAAACTGCAGTGTTATCCGCTTTTGATCGCTGTAAAGATGGTTGGCGTTCGGTCCTGGCTAGACCTCTTCACAATGTATTGACATAGCCTTGAAATACTTTTAACGCTAGGGTAGAGGTCATTTCAGGTTGCAGTTACCTAAGCATGTATTCAAGTGAATTTCATCTTCTGAAGTGTAAACTCCTACTGAGAATACGAACTCCCAGCTGAGCAACGATCATAAAACTTTTTGACATCCTGTACTCATGTCAGTTTTTTATGAAAAAAAAAACAATTGCGAGTTTATGCTTGCTTCACTAAAGGATACTCCTCTCCAGCAAAAAGTAAAACAAAATACTTTTTGGGATAGGTTTAGCAGGGATATTTATCAAACAACCTAGAAAGGAGCGGATAGTAATGTTTTATGCATTCGATCTAAAAAAATGTCAGCATAGACAGTACAGTTCTAAGCAGACAAACTAGAACAATAGCTAAACCGGAGCAGGATCTGACTCCATCGCCATATCCATAAATGGCCCACTCCAATCGATTACAAGAGAGACTTCTAAATGAAATCATTAATTACGCTGTACAAAGTCCTTCCCTCATTCTGTTAATTGGCCCATAAGAAATTTGTATTTGCGACTGACGATATAAAATAAATATTGTATTAATAAGACAATACGAAATCGGGTTGGAATGAGCAATTAGATTAATAGTCCGAGGTTGACTTTATCCTTATTTTGGGTCGCATTTCGTTAATAGTTATTCTGTATCTTTGTTTAAATTCATACTTATCATAGTAGAATGTTATCGGAGTATATGTAGTGAAGATATTCGAGGCAGTAAATGTCACGAGACATTGTGTAAATTAGTTACCAACATTAAGCTTTTGACCGCTTTGTTGCATCTTTTATTCATATTAAAATGACACTGTTAAAGCAACATTTTCAACATTAGGTATCTAATGTATATGAAAGAAGTTATGAACATTTCTGATGACCTGTGCTCTCTCTTTTGTCTGCGAAGTCATTTTTTGATGAAAGCAGCATCCTCCTACTCGTTTGTCGACGGCTGAACGACGCGATTGCATTCTCATGCAATAGTTGCAGGTTAATTTTGAACTGATGTATTGCAAGTTGATGTCGCACTGTTCATCTTTTTTTCTTTGGTAATTAAAAAGCTAGAAGCGTGTAATTTTAATATACGAATAGTTCACATACGATACATTTTTCTTGTCCACCCTACACAATATGCAGCAGCAGCAATAACAAGACAAAGAAAAAAATACTGCAGAAGACGGCGGCCTCAACAATTAAATGGGTATTCTTATGTCGTTAACTATGTTCAGCAATGAGCATTTCTTGCTTTTCAACCAATTCGTCAAGTTTTTGATTCAACTAATCTGTTAGAATTAACTGTTGCTCAGGGCTTCTATTTAATAGTTTTGTAACTTCTACTACATGTTATTTAGCATATTAGTAGTAAACAACGTCATCACTCACAATGCCACAGCCTAGCCACTTCTATTGCCGTCACTCGCTACCCGGTGATACCTGAATTCGGTAATACCTACCGGACTTCCCTCGTTGATGCTGTGGAAAAATTTTCCAGACTTTAAACAAAATATATCCTTTGTTGCTTCATTTTTTGTGTTCACAACCATCAGCTGTCCGACTAACTACAGCAAAGGTGATCGCTCATTTGTGGGACTCTCTTTCACATGGTGAAGTTTCGTGTCTGCGCTATTATCACTGTCGTCGTCGCCGCCGCCGCCAATAGACTGCTACCAGCGGCGACGAATTTGTAGATCTGACGACGAAGGAACCCACAACGAAATAGCGAAAAAGCTTTAACAACAAAAGTAAATGTGTTCGAAAACCTGTTTACGTTACTACTAGTAGTACAGCCGCGACGACATCTATAGTTGCTGCTTGTCGACCGAATTTAAAGCAGTCATCAGAAGACGATCATCCAAACTCATACGATAGCAATTTTCGCGTCGGCACAATTCGTTGCCATTCGTAGATTTTCTTGCCGCCATTGCCCCTTCTTTTTTCCGCTGAAAATCCGACGAGCAACGCCGTTTACTCTTGCTCTTGTGTGTAGTTAAATAAACACCGATAGGCATAAGAGCTTTCGTAGACAGCATTAGCAACACACGCAAAAGAATGTAATCTAATTGTAGTAATTGAATGAATCGCGATGAAGTAGCAGTTAGTAGGTTAGTCCTGATCTTTTTGAGAGCTGGATGTTGCTAAAACTGAAAGGCTGTGAGACAGAAGAAAGAAGACAAGGACAGACTGTGTGCAATAAGAGGATTACTGAAAACGGTACAAATGGCGTTGGCAACTATCGATGTTGCTTTTGTAGGCTGTGCCAACAAGAGTTCATGGACTTATTGATAATGGATTTTGATTAAAATTACGATCCTAATAGTTGCCGGATATGCGATTTGCATGTATCCTTACGAGGAAAAACATATGGCTCAAGGTAACCAAAACGAAACTTCTTCATACACCGTTCAGGCACACTATGGTATCAGCCTATTCTACTTGTTTATCACTTGTAACGTGATCGTTGCTAATTTGAAGTAATTATTTCGCGACAGTGCAGTACTACGACTATTATTTCATTTTATCTTAAGTACTAATCAAAATAATTCTAACGGATGAAACCCAAATGAAGAAGGTCCATAATAGATACTAGCAAGTAGTCAGTGTACTAATAAGCCACATAAATTCAACTCATTGTTACTGTTGTATTGACATATTCGCAATAAAGAGTATGGTGCACCAAGCCGTTGCACCATATTGCATTGCCCTACTTACCATATCTGAAGGATACCGGCGGCGTTTGTTTATATTCACAAAAGTATATTTAATAGCCTTTCAGCTCAATTTCAGCAGATTAACCAAAGGTAAGTTGATTTGTCTGTAAACTTATTGGCCACACTTAGATTTCACAGAATCAGTTATATGGGCGCACAGACTCGATGGTTATATGTTAAGCTCGATAATGGGTTTTATAGTTTTTGTTTTGCTGTTTTTTGGCGATTCATAAAATTAGCCTGCATTTTAACTCTAGCCACCAAATGTCATCAGTGAAACAACATTATCAATAAATCAAGCGTTGTAGCATAAAGGCGTGATGGCACTCCGTGACGGCCACCGTTCCGCTCAACATCTGGCATCCTCGTAATTACTCGATATTATTCGATAATTTTAAAAACAATCGGTATCAAAGTGCGGTACCCTACAGTGGTCACTCTTTAAAATTATCAGATAATGCTAGGAATCAAAGAAACTATGTATTTGTTACACTGGCAATCTAATTTGCATACGGTTTCGTCATGTGAATGTCTACTATGGGTTATGAATGTGCCCAATAATTGCATTTAGGCGCTTGTGATAGTTTAGTGGATAATGTGTTTGTTCGCTAATCTGAGAGACACATTGTGGTCTAGGTTTGGACCCATAGGGTATAGACGCATTTTGTTTCATGCTAAGAACCAGTCGTATGGAAAGCCTTAATTCTATAATACAGACCGTAAAACTCGAAACTCTAACATAAAGTTATTATTATTTTCATATTATTATCAATAAGTTAAGTAGTCCCCTATTAAGCGAGGTTTTGCTTGTTTCTTAGTTTTTGCGTGGTTCGACAACAAATTTATATTTTTTTGACTTTGCAATTTCAGGCAAATGCTGGTTGATGATGGCGAATGAAAAACAGTTTTCGGGAGGGTAAACTTCAGTTTGTCCACGTGTAAATATGTGGGTGCGAAGAGGGTCCTTAGGCCTGATAACCCCTGTTGTCGTATTTCTAGTCACAGCGTGGGTGATACTTGACGGCACGTTTCACAATGGCGATAACTATGATTCTCCCCGCGTGGCCTTCAGTCCGACAACTAAAAATCATCAGACAGTCAGCGGAAGTGTTAGTATGGCCGCTACTTTAAAGTTAATTGATGCTCAACTTGAGGCCGCAGAACTAAGGGTCACGTCTCAAACTCGCATGAACTACACAGTTGCCTTATTTGCTGATCAGACTAGAATTCCTACTGATGTTGGCTGGACGGTGCAACGTCCGGAGAATTTTACGGTGCATAAAGGGTTCGAACCCAATCCGCATAACTACACATATATTCTAAACACTGAAACCCTTTGTAATGATTTCGATCATCGACGCTTACGAGTTTTAGTGTTTGTCGAAACTCACGTGAAGAATACGGAGCGACGGATGGCCATTAGGAAAACATGGGCGCAACGAGAACTGCAGAAGGCACTTAACTTTCGAGTGGTGTTCCTATTTGCGAATTATGGAAATGGAACGGTTCAACAAGCGGCACTGAAGGAAGATTATGTGTATGGTGACGTTTCTCAAGAAGACTTTCCCGAACATTTTGAGAACCTCAGCATCAAATCTACTATGGGTCTGAAGTATGCGGTGACGTTCTGTAAAAGTGCTGAATACATTATTAAAATCGATGACGACATCTTTCTCTACATGCCAAATGTTATTAAATCATTTGAAAGTCACCGACGTACGCCGGCAAAGGATCATCTACTTTGCCACCGAAATCGAGTCGAGCGGATACTGCGACCAGGCAAGAGTCATGAAGTACACCGAATCAAGACAAAGAAGTACGAGGTTAGTCATGATGTCATTCCTGGGAGTAGTTTCCCACCGTACTGTTCAGGCTTCGCCTATAGCATGAGCTTGCGGGCTGCCCTCAAGCTTTATGAAGCGTCACTGGGAACGCCACTGTTCTTTATCGAAGATGTCTATTTGACAGGATTTTGTCGTCATAAGGCGGGTATAGGGCTGATTGACCACCCAGGAATGGCATTGCGCCCGCCCGTCACCGAGTACAATGCCCCCTGCTATTTTCATTTCGCGGAACGAATCACCTCTAACGAGATCAGCCCCATGGAAATGCATGATATTTGGGACGCAGTCAACACAGCAGGATACTTTTGTCCTAAATAATCCTCGAGCAGTACAAATACGCATGTATTTATATTTGCATTCTGTAATAATATTTGTTAATGCTGAATAGATAAATCAAATATCTCAGACATGTTTTCCTTTTTATTTTCTTAAACACAAAGTTTTGTATATATATATATATATATGCAGGGAACAGACGGTCATTGAAGCAGCTTTTCTACCTAATATAATTGCCTAAATCGTAGTTTTCAATGAAGCCACTTAAAAGCAAAGGTATTAAAGAAAACTTACAGGTAACAAATTGGCAGGACTAGTTCATAACTGTGGGACCTTGAAACCATACTTCCCTTTATTAGGAAGATAAATGTGTAAATGGAAAAGGCTGAATGCGCACTAGTCTAGGTGTGTCGATTACACCCAAATAATTGAAACAAACAACTATCCGTCCCACTACAAGTACAGCTGAAGTTAAAAATTAACTGGCAGGTGCTAAATACGCAAATAGTCTTGGGAAATTCTAAGTTCAATAAATCATAATCTGTTTATCTAAGGAAGATCTATTACTCAATACTTCCGCAGGTATCATTTAGCATCTCTGCTGATAGCGGGATCGGGCCAAGGGATTCAATTCCATCATATAAAATGTTGTGCCTACTTCGTAAAAATGTAGATCTTAATAGATATCTGCAATACATTTATACGTAAACCTTATTAGGAATAATTATTGCATAAAGGATTTACATGGATGAATGTCGTATTTATTTATCTTATGCAGGAAACGAAGAAATCCCACCAACATTTAATGATTGTATTGAACAAAGTTCAAATTATTAAACTGGTGCTACATTTTGGTTTACTATTTTTTAAAATAAATTGTACATAAATTGAAATTAATAAAAACACATAATTAAACGTACATAATTCGAAACTAGTTATTCGACTCCACAAGCTTTGAATGAAGATTGCGATTCATTAGAGTGGGTAGAATGTGATGTTTCCTTTGGTCACACGCTATTCTATTCAACATAACAACAGAAAAGATAACTACTTAAAAAATAGATTTTAATTATAGAGACGTAACATACAGATTTTGCGTAAATTTAGTTGTTTTCTTAAACGTCTAAGTACGTATATATAATTCAAGATCCCTAACTATGCAATAACATTGCTGTAAAAGTTTCAGTCTCTGTAAGAAAAAGGCATTATTTGTTTTCATTTTTCGGCAGTCCACCTAATCTAAGAGAAGTATGCCCGTCTACCACTCTTCTGTCATTGCCAAATGAAATAAATACGTATATACGTGTCTCCTTTCAGAGCCAAACCGACGCAGTTAAAATCATGCTGTAATTAGCGATGGTATCGATAAATTCACCTATCATGCAGAGTTAGCCAGTGCGTAACTTACGTACAAATTTAGCCTATACGGGGCGTCTTTTCGTTCGCAACGCACCGTTCGCGTTTCAGAAAATGGCGCGCGACGTAGATACTATTCAATCGGAGAATAGCGCATAACTCTCTTTCGCCCTTTCCTATGTTATTATAGCTCGTGAGCCGATCATCTGGACTTGCATTTTTTCAGCCAGTTGGAGCGGTCATTGCCAACAACATGCGCAATTGTGAACTGCTGATTTGTGTAATTCTACATTTAGCGGCCACTATTAACAGATCGCAAACTATTACCATTATCGGCAGTGAACAAAGTAGTTCTAAATGGCCGATTCAGTGATATAGCATTGAAAGGATACGGGATTAATTTTCCGAGATTCGGTGACAGACAAAACGGACACATCAACAGAAGCAACGCCCTAACCGCATAGTATAAACTGAAGAGTTTTTTTTTTGTGTAAGTCTCGCACAAAGTAGTAAGATGACGAATGAATACAAGCTGTGCATTGCGGTTGCGTATGTTAGTTAGCTTTTCTTTTTTTATTATTTAAACATCGCATGTTATCACTTACGCCTTGATCGTGACTAGGCAGATATACGCTCTTTAAAGAAATTTGGGTTTAATCATTGTTACATAGTGTCGCATATTTATGTGAAGTTGTTTGCGATTTGCTAGTTGTCAGTCTCAACCTCTTACCAATTGTAACAAGAGTAAAACAGGCAGAGAAGAGCTTTCGAACTCTCATCGCTAGGAGCCTTTAATCATATATTAGGGAAGCTTAGCCTTATTGCCGTTTTGTTATCCTGTTAATAATTTTCCTTGATATACAATGTAAACGCATTATTAGCATAGTATTAAATTCGGTTTTAATTGGTGCTAACGTAATGAGACGAAAAATTTAGGCATACGTCTGAAAGCACAGCTTCCATAATTTGTATTACGACAACATTTTGAAAGATGCGTACGTAATTAGTTCGTCGCTATTGTCGAAAAAAAAAAAAAACTAAAAAACTGTGTTAATAAACGATCTAGTCGAAAAAACACTAGCATTATTAATAATCTAATCATAAAAAATATGTTATTATCAAACCCTTTTCTCCATTAGAAGATTCGTTTCTAGGCCAATCAAGCGCCTAGTATATTTTTAGAATTGGTGTTTCCTGTTACTTATATTATCGTTCAAACTCATTTTAAAATTAAACATAATGTTGCAAGTTTGCGCACTTTCGTGTACTCTTCAATTCCCATATATAGCTGCAATCTTTAGTAGCACCAGCATAAGGTTTACCTCACATAAGGAGTATAAGCACTTCTTTTATGATCTTTTGGACTGTTTTTAAACATTTTTTTAGAACTGCATATAGTCTATCTCTCGTGTACAGTGAAAAAAAATATCATTTGAATAATAAAGCTTTAAAAAGTAACGTAATTTTGTTTTTGTTAGAAAAATCAGTGATTTCGTCACCGGACATTTGAAACAACCATTTCGTACTCTTTCAGGATGGGAAAAACAGCGATTTTGATCATCAGCATGTTCGTATGGAGCTGGGCAAATCTTTTTGCCCTTTTCCAGTTCGGTGTTGCAGTTCTGATCAATTTTCGACATCTACTTCCTGATGATCTTTTTCAAGCGGGCTGGCTACCGGCACTAACTGAGGCTGACATATCGGATCCTGAGTGGCTTTCTGTGAAGTTCCTAGCGAATTTCTACTTGCCGGCAATTGTCGTGCAAAATTTGATTCTCCGCTGTACTCCAAATACGCTACACGTTCAATTGCGATGCCTTATAGCTCTAACGTTCCTGGGCACCACCTTTGGACCGGTTTGTACCTACCTGCTGCTGGGCCTCTTCGGACTGACCTACGCTGCAAGTAAACTGCGCAGGAAATACGCTATCTACATAGTCAACCTATTTATCGTCTATCTGGTCATTTACAAGAGGGAGCTGTTAGATAATCTTGTTACGCCAACTGCGGAAAACGAAAGCATTGATCTCATGTTTGACATCGCCGCGTCGTGGGCATGTCTTCGAGCAATATCTCTTGGTCTAGCGCTTATTGATGGCGATGTGGACGTCATTTATGCATTTTGTTACTATATGTACCTTCCATCATTGTGTGCCGGACCGTTGATAAACTGCAAAAGCTTCACACAGCAACTGGACAGATCACGTTTACCCTCTCGAGTAACGGCCATTAAGCAAGCCATGTCTTCGGCACTGAAATTAGCTATATGGGTTCTATTTATCGAATTGGTGGATCACACGTTGTTTGTCTCTGCGATGGTTACCGCTTACAGCAATGTCAGATTCCATTTGACGACGCTCGAGTATTTTGGCTTATGTGTGGCCATGATGGCTCGATTCTACGTGAAATACCTAGTAATATATGGTGTCGGAGAGGCAGCGGCCCGCCTCGAAGGCATATGGCTGCCAGAACGGCCTCGTTGCACTCTTCGAGTGACATCGGGTTCTCACCTGTGGCGCACTTTTGATCGGGGTCTGTACCTATGGTTTGTTGAGTATATTTACGTCCCATTGGGTGGTCAGATCTATGCTTCAGCCGCCTGTTTTTTCTTTGCATGTTTTTGGCACTCGTTTTCATCGTCGATTCAAGTCTGGGCTACGGTCAACTGTGCAATCGTTGTGACTGAACGGTCGCTGTCGAAATCACTTTCGCCGACTGTTTGGGCCTTTTCCCAAATACCTTTGCACTGGCTGGCAGTCGGGAGTAATATGTTCTATCTTGGTGATCTCGATGTGGGGAACGATTTTTTCCATTATCTATCAAGTTCAGCGTTGGTGATAGCAGTCGCATGTGTGATATCACTGTGCGCGTGCGTTGTTGGAAACCATTTTGAAAAGGAGGACAACGCGTTGTTCAACACGAAGAAAAGTACAGTTATTTACAATAAGAGGAATACGTTCTAATATGTACAAACATACTTTCTCGAATAAGTTGGGGACTATACGCTATACGACTTGTATTCTAATCCTAATAGCTGTGAGTAACTAATTGTAAACGGTAATTTAGAAATAGTAACAAATGCTGTTATACATACTGTATATTTTTTTTCTGTGCCAAATGAAAGGCGTAAAAAAGGCAGCACATCTTTGAAGCACTTCTATATACCTGTATTTTCTATACGTATGGGTGAATATACCTAATTTGTAGATAGTCATGTAAATATACGAGAAGCATGCGCGTAGAAAGCACCAAGTTTTCAACAGCATTGTTCTTTTTTTAAGAAATGCGATTGAACCTGTACAATTGTAGCTGAAATACTCGAAGAATGACTCCAATCACTCAACCGTTAGGTGTTTCTATAAACCTCGCAGGATACATGTTAGCAGAAGCCGCTACATATCTGCAGATCTGTCACAGGTCTCTCAATAAAATAGGTTGTTGTATTATCAAAATGCACATTGTTGTCACTGGAATGAGACATCATTAAGAGAACGTAAGATTTCTCTGGTGTATCGTTTCTGGCCTTCTTAACCGTATTTAGTGACAACAGTTTAATTTGTCCGAGTAACTTAGTTCGGACCAAGCATCATAGTTCATCATGCTGATAATCTTATGTATTATGTGGCTTCTGGGTTCATGGAAATATTAGGCAAATACGCTGGAAATGACATCAAGCAAGTCTAGCTTGTTAATTTACGGTAGCAAATTCGTACCTGGCGCTGACTTCCTGACCTGGCAGAAAATTCTACCACCGCTCATATGTATTACCTGTGTAGAGTGTATCACTATTTTTAACCAATAAAGCAACACGTCTTGTTCACAGGGGTCTCATCCCTTATCACTCGATATTTGCCTTTTTAGCTTTCTAACATCGAAAGTATAATTACAGAAAACATTCAGTGAGCACAAGCCTGATATGTGCCCAGCACGTACGCACTTATCTTACTGTTTGGATATATTACAATTATAAATCTCATTTGTTTGATTCATTTGAGTACTTTCAGCACAGATACTTGGACGGTAAACGGTGCAAAGGTATCTATATTACGACCCTAAAAGTCAACGGCTGCGTGACTGATTTTTCAGATTCCATATAAGCATTTCCCATATCGTACAACTACATAAATATTCTTAATCCTCCTTTTTCATGTGGACTATTTTCATTGATTTGCGCCGTCTTGCTTACCCTATGTTTCGCACTTATTCCTATCACTTCAGCTGTACACTTCGAAAACATTTCTACATCATCATCATCATATATGCAGATAGGCAGCAACATCGAGTTGGCCAATGGTGGACAGAGTTCCGTTTAGGACACGGCATGCTACACTTTTTATCGAGTGTTTATTCATTTTTCTAATAGCGTTTTTTTATTGCATTATGTAATAACGTAACAACAAAAACAACAGGCCTATTTAATATAAAATTATAATAATAATATAAACAAAAACTATTATACTCCATTACTATAACTTAAATAGCTCCTTGACCTTCTCTGCTATAACCTCGGCAATGGCTAGACTCGAGGTGGCCGCTGGTGACGGAGCATTTCGTACATGAAGTGCTCGCCCGCTAAAATCACCTTTGCCAGTGTCGAAAACGAAGTCATCTACGAAGTTCCCATCCAGGTCGAGTGCCTGTGCCCTGACTCCTGCCGGACCTCGTTCGATGTCTGACATCTGGAGTTTAGGCACATATTTGCGGAGCTCCTCAACCTGTGCCGATAGAATGAATCCCTTGTAAAGCTCCTGGACGCCAGCCATAAAGTATTTAGCCACCATCTTCTGGAGCCCAGGATAGCTGAGGGATTCGACTAGTTCGACAATGTTGATATCCGTACACTTGTAGCCCTCCCGGGCAAAGGCAAGTACAGCATTCGGTCCAATTATCGCACGGCCATCTATCCGAGGGGTGAAGTGTACGCCGAGGAATGGCAAGCTCGGATCAGGAACGGGATAGATATTTGTGGATATTAAATCGCTGGAAGTTTCCTTCAAGATGAGGTATTCGCCACGGAACGGGACTACTTTCGGTAGGGATGAGCCACCTGTCATCTCCGCTAACTTGTCTGAGTAGAGACCGCCGCACGAAATCAGACGCTTACAATGGACCTAACACACAAGCAAAACAACAACAAATATTTTTAACCAAAAGTGTTTAACAAGTTTATTTATGTACGATATTCTCGTAGGGTGATTCATGACAATACACTGCAGCAACAAAAATGTGCAATGATGACAAGAAAGCTTTTTGGAAGACAAAATACTCTAACACTGATCATGCATTAAAACAAAGAGATTATTAGGAAAGTGTATATATATATATATATATATATATATATATATATATATATATATATATAATAAAGATTTGTCATCACAGCGGTTTGAACTGCTGGAGCTCGCCAAAAGAATATTCTACGAATAAAAACATAGATAGCAACAAATTTACATCTGTACCTCCTCATAAGTGCCGCTCTTCACAACCAAATCGTTATTGGCGTTTCCGCTGCTCCGAACAGCGACTACCCTAAAACCATAGTGCATATGGCCTCCTAAAGAAGTGAAGTCCCTGGCGTAGCTTTTTGTTACTTCCCGGAAGCTAACGATTCCTGTATGCGGACTCCAGATTGCCTTGACGCCTCGTGCGTTAGGCTCGATTTCCTCAATACCTTTCGAGTCCACTATTTGAAGGTCCTTTACGCCGTTTTTTTCCCCTTCAGGTGCAATTGTATGTAAGCCGACAAAAAGATAAACACATATGCAAACGTTACAGATGGAGTGCGTCTACGTGTAAATTTCCATTGCGGGTTTCTTAATGAGATGCACTAAATAATTTAAACAACAAGAAAATTGGCATAAATCTATTAGGCATACATAAATAGCGTTTCCATACTATTCTTATTACATACTTTACCAATTTTAATCAAAACTGAGAAACATTAAAATTAACCAAAATGACGATTGTAAATGTGATTAAAAGCACAGCTGAAAATAGGGGCCCGGCCTTGGGCAAATCGAAAATTCTAGAATAATACTATACAGAAAAAGCTGTTTTTTGTGGTACTCCAATGTTACGCTATATTTTTAACGATATACACATTAGGCACTGGCATACGTTTTTTGTTCGCGTACATACAGATAGGGAACCAAGTTCGAAAGTAACATCACTCAATAAAAGCTATGTGTAATTATAGTGTATAATTCCGAAAAGTATATAGTCGCTCTCACTATGTAATACGCAAAGACAGCTTCGGATACAGCGCATCATTTAATGTCAATGGAGCTGACGCTTACACTCGTTTCGACAAATGCTATTCGTAAAAGGAAGTGGCTTCAAAAAACCACATATTAATCGAGTAACGAATAAAATAGGAAAGCATTATTTTCACTACAAAATTAGTGTATTAGTAGAATATTTTCACATTATCGCTCGTTTATACTGACTCAATATAACAGTAAAGATTACCTTTAGCCAAGAGATGCTCGAGTGTCTGTATCTGGTTAGAGGCAGTTGCTACAATGAGCTTGCCGCAAATTTTATGTGGAATTCCTTTTTTCTTGCAGTAATCTAACATCAGTCGGTGCCCGCGAACGCACAGCTGTGCCTTAAGCGAGCCTGGCATATAGTTCATGCCTGCATGAATTACGCCACTGTTGTTTCCGCTCTGGTGATCGGCTGGAAAATGAAATTGCGAGTAGGTACAGTAACGTCATAAAGAGCAACGAAGCTGCTAGATGAAACAATAGCAATCAATATATATAAGGAAAGCAGGTTTAGCTTGAGGCTTCATTAACTTTCATCACCTTCGTACAGGGAAAAGTATTGGATTAGCTCCACGTAGGATAATGTGGTTGATAACCGAAAGAACTGATTCTAGAAAATATATACAGATCTATTCAATTCTAGTAGCGATAACATATATTATTACATTTACGAGTTGTATCAGTAAAGGTTGAGTTCGAATTATGTGAAATTACTTCATATTGACTGGAAAACTGTTTTTCTCTATTACAGTAACTATACACTGCTAAATCATCCTAAAACCGCGTTTGTTGGATAATTAAATGGAACCAGATCTGAAACAACCAGGAAATAAAAACATAACATTTAAATAAACATCACGACAACATAATATCGCGATAACATAATTTCACATCCGATAAATATTGGTTGCTTGATTGATTTCTTCCTGTATAGGTAAATATTAAGTTAAATACTTTTGATAAAATATAGCTGTGAAAATTGTTAGATGTATATAATTTATTTTTAATACTCAGTACTGCTGAGCTTGCAGTTTTACCCTGTTGATCTACTTCAGCTGAGCTGCAGTTATTACTACCATGACCTTATTAGACGCACAAGTAGCCTTCTAATATACATAATACATTTTACTAGCAAATAAGCGCACCAGTTTGTTCCAATTAAAATTGTGCACTCACACATAAAATTAGGGGGAACGAGAGACTCACCAATGTCACATTCTTTTTCAAGAACACCAATTTCCAGCTTGGGGTGATTCAGCTTCAGCTGACGTGCTGTGGCCATGCCCACTATGCCCCCTCCGATAATAGCGACATCGTAACATTTTGCTTCGGTATCGATAGAAGCCACCCTACCCTTTCTTGGAATACCATCAGAGGTAATAACACCAGCTGAAGTGCTTGCTAATTTTCGTCCAAGAAGCCCAATCAAAGTTAAACGTTTTGAGCAAACAAAATGCTGTCCCGGCGAAGGCCGCAGTATTACCGATCGCGCAACACGCATTCTGAAATCATCACCTCAAAAAAAAACAAAAATACAACTCAGGAGGGCATTATTACTTGGTTGATGACTAACACAACCGAATTTTGTAGGAAGATCGCGCCCGTAAGGTAGCAACCGGTGTCGCTGAACACTGTCCAAATCGTCAACATTTGAAACCACTCAGTATATTCGCGCTTCTTAACTAATTATTGCTTAGTTGAAGTGCGACATGCCTCGACCTTCGGTCGAACATTAGCAGACTTTTTTACTGAAATGAAACTTGTTTTGCCTGAAGAAAACACTAGCGCGCAGTGTGCACAAGGCGGGCTCTGTGGAGACACTAACCTGTGAATGATTCAATGAAGGTTGTGACTAATCATTAGTGCTTGACCCGCTGCTCAAGAACAGGTTCATAAGCGAAGTCACCTCCCCTCTTTCGGTACCACTCGTCGAAACCTTTTCTAACTAGTCAGAGACAGTAGATAACACATCAACTAGTGCTTGTTCTAAATCTCCTGTGTTGTGTATGGAGGCAGACATCTTTGTTTGTTTCTTACAGGGTAGTTGCACGGGGTGGAGCGACTAACGAGCCGAATTGTCGTCAGTGAAGTGATCATTTTTGGGCAGATCTATTTATAGAATCGATCGTGTAATCAATTAATGTAGGCCACAATTCCAGATTAGGAAATGTTCTCCGTATAGCGTATCTTTTCCAATAGGATCGTTTTTGTTTACCAAGCTCGCGCCGCTTTATCCGCTAGCAAAGGCGGCAGTATTAGACGCACTCGTGTACTTATTTTGAATATGACGAATGGCGCGGAAAGGAGGCAAGCAGACGCAGCTGTTCGAATGGACTCAGTTAGAGTCTGTACAAACAGTAAGAGATTTCGATCGTCAATTGAAGCACAAGTGCACGTAGCTTGCCGGGTTTGCGCAGGAGGGAGCTAGCAGCCGTGCAGGTGGCGCCTGCGCGAGTGAGCGAATAATGAGGTCTGGGAAAAGAATCATCGCAGTTGTTGTCAACAGCGCAAACAGAACGGAGGAAAACGTTAGAGCTTGTTTGTTGGATATCCGTATATAAGTGTATGTCTGAAAGCACTGGTTTGTCCGATACGAGAGGCTTCGATAGCGCTTCGCTTCAGCAGATTTACTACTAGCTCTTCGGAAAACAACTTAAATTTTGAGGTGTAATGAGAGAAAATGCTGGCAAGAGCGAAGTCAGGGTGGCGAGGGCGAATGCGGCTGAGAACAGCTAGCAGCTAGGGTGAGCCGGCGGTCTAGCGACCGACGCACTACATGTTCATTACGGTACCTTCTCAGATCGCTTTTCTATGGGATCAAGAGATGGAGAAGGACAACTGCAGACCGCCACATCATTGAGAAAGAGTCGTTAGGGGAGAGGACCAGAGAACGCCGCGCATAGCAGCAGTAGCTGAGTTCGAGAGCGCTACTCATGTGCGACCGGTGCTTAGTCTAAACAGAGTAACTAACGGCGCGACACCCAGAGCACAACGCTCGGCAGCGAGTCTAACACCCTATAGAAAAAAACAAGAGCACGACGCCACCATGGTCTGAGAGTTTACAGTTTGTTCTTTGTTGCCTGAGGTTGGACGATTCAATCGCGAACGGATGAGAATGAAAAATACGATCCGTTTTATATAGTATTTGTTACAGAAAGAACTATTAGCAACTAGCAAAGAATAAAGAGAAATCAAAATACCCAGGATAAAGAAGAACAACTCGAACATCGATTTAATTTGAGGATATTTGTGATATTTGTAAAGGTATAGATACTGTCGTATTGAAGAACGTACGCGTCAAATAGAAAACAAGTATTTGTAGCAGACAATTTCTGAAGAGGGGCGGTGACGAGAACCGTTAGCTTACACGAAGTCCATCTATCCTATGTGCTACAATGGTTCTCATATAAAAAGGAGATAGAACTGTGTATGCGCGTGTGTTGTGTGTTTTTAAATGTCGCTCGTGCAAAGGAAAAGTGAGACTAAAAGGAACGCTGAACGAGTTCGAGAAGCAAAGTTTGCCAGAAAATTACACGGCTGGCAGCTAAATATAACGAGAGCGTTATGGAATCAGAGTTGAAGTGTCCGGTATGCAAGCACCTGTTCGTTAACCCCGTTATTTTACCGTGCTTTCATTCGGTCTGCCTCAAATGCGCTGTCCAACTACAACAGCCAATTAGTGGAACACAAGAGGATGACTTTGATCAGTTATCACTCGTATCGGAAACCGATTCCGGGGTTGTGTGTAGCCCCCTGCCATCCGGCAACTCACTTGCGATCACCTGTCCAGGTTGCCACAAAAGTTGTCTCTTCGACGAGAACGGAGCCGGTAACCTGTGTAAGAATCGTGCGCTTGCCAATATTATTGACCGTTATGCCGAATCACGGAAGTTGTATATTGAGTGCCAAATGTGTGAGCCGGGCAATGAGCCCACCGGGGGCAGTGCGCAGGCGTCGTGGTTTTGCGAACAGTGCGAAGTGTTCTATTGCGATGCGTGCCTAGGCGCGTTTCATCCCCAACGCGGACCGCTGACCACACATCAGCTCATCACAGCTATACAAGGCCGTTCGCAACAACGAGCAAAATTTAAAATTTTGGCTGCGAAGGAGATGAACTGTTTAGAGCATGAAGATAACCCATTTAGTATGTTTTGTCTAATGTGTAAGATCCCGCTGTGCGTGATGTGCTTACATGATGGGCGGCATACAACACATGATGTACAGGCTCTTGGCCAAATGTGTCGCCTCCAGAAGGTAAAAGTTACACACCCATATTTAATGTTTGAACTTTGTAGTGTACAAATATTGTATTTGGGAAGATCTTGGTCGTTCGACATCGAAATAGTTTACATTTGTAACTTGGGTTACTGAAAAATAGTAGATTTAAAATATCTGTTGTATAATAGAAAATTTTTGTTATAGCAAAATTTCAAAGGTAATATAACAATTTCGTTAGTTTCTTTTTTGATCGTATCAACCATCTATCATTTTTTAGACTTCGAAAAACCTGGTTCCGCAGATCTTCCAAACTCAATGCAACCCTTAGAGCGAACGAAATCGGTTGCTTTTATGAGTCTGGGCTGTCCTGCTGAAAATGTCTGAGCGGAAGGTAAAATACTGTAGTGCAAATATCGTCGTTTTTACAAGTCGAAATTTTATAATGTATATAACAGAGTATAATGTTGATTTAGGATCGCAAAGCAGGACCAGCAAGCTTTTTCTCGCGTTCCACATTTGGATACAATGCCACACTACCGTTAAGAAAAATCTAGACGCCCACTAGCATCGCACGCGCTGATACGATATACCACCAAATGTAAACTGTACGTGTGAAGATTGTGTTGCATGAATAAGTGTCTTCAACTTATGTTGTATGAAGTACTTTGTGTAAGTCACGTTGTGGAAGAAGCTATTAGATTATGACTATTAGGGAATAGCTGGTCGCTATTCGACGTTACCCCTATTATGAATATAATTAGCCTTTTTCCTCATATAGATGGAATAAAATGTGGAGCAGGACAAAGCTTGCGGGTGACGCTGTAACCGAGCTGCCCTAATATCGTAATCGTACGGCCGTTACCGCAAATTTAATATCGTATGGACTCACCAATGTAACAATGGGGTAGATATGCGTTTTAAGCTGCTTTTGAATGTGCTCTAGTTAAATTGAAATTCTAATAAATGTACATGGAAAGGTTAAAGTGGATGATAATGTGGAGCTGAGAAAAATCCTTAAGCTTTGGTAATATCCTAGAAACAAAACCAAGATGGCAACCGAGGCGTTTATTTAGTTTATTTTCAACATATATAACTGTATATGAATAAAAAGAAATAAAAACTTTAAGCCTTGCTGACTTTCCGAGAATAGATCAATATCTCAACCAGGACATACAAGATCACCATGAAATAACGACGATGATTCTTTAATTATTAATTTACTGTGTTCAATTACCTAGATAGAAAGATGTCCTGGTAGCGTTATAAGAACAAAATCAATAAATCAGCCGATTCTATTAGTTGCAACTTTTATTAGAGGTCGGCCAAAGGCCACTCGATTTTCGTACGTTTCTTATAGGTCGGCCAGAAACAGACTGAAAGTCAACATATCACGAGCGAAACAAATCTAATGCTGAATGAATCTCTCGGCGAACAGATTAGAACGGGCCGATGAATAACGTGAAAGGAGATATCGAATTAAGTAAGATAAAGTACTTGCAACAACATAACTGTCGGTTTATCTTATAGCTTACGTTAAGCTGGATGTAATATCAAATTATTTAATTAGTTAAATTAACAACAAAACAGGCGCGAGTCCATCTAGCGATTTTCTATTTTAAAATCCGACACTATGGCTAAGCAAGCGCAGGGTCAATTGAGCAGGTACCCACTTGTCGAACAAACATTCCTAAATGCAGAAGCGATGATTTGTTTAGTAATTAGATAGGGCCCTCAGCTGGTACACTGAACCGTTACAATTTTCGTGTTTCCGTCCTAGACTTAATAACGGTCCCTATTGATAGCGTCTCCTACAAATTCTGTACCAATATGCTCAATGTTTACGCGTCCGTTGATAATGCTGGCGATGCTACTTGCAGTCTCAACTACGTACAACTTATACACCAGTAAAGTAACCTTGACTGCCTTGTTTGAAGGCGTAAGCTGCTGTGTCGGATGATTCTGCCACGACTTATGCGTTTGATGGAGAGGCAATCCCTACGACTGAGATATATTGTATCCTGGATGCTCTCGTCAGTCCGAATTTCGACTTTGCCAACCAGCCTAATCAACTTAGTCCAGTTGGTTAATCCGGTTGGTATATTTTCGGTGCCGTATGCTTAATAAGGGTTCGGAATTTCATGTGAAACTCATGAATGTTGCGCTTGAACTTCCGCAAGGTAGCACTTCATGATTCCTTTCTTTCACGTGCTTTTAATAGCGTTTTGGAGCATCTATGAGGCGCGCCTCAAAAGGATGCTATCCAGTTCGCAACACAGCTCACGTAGCTAATTCAGCTTATATTCACCTCATTGCCTACCCCTTAATGCCTATAAGAGGCATTTCGAAATTATCAGTTATGAATATATTTGGTAACAGAGCTCACAATTTCGAATTACAGTAGTGCGTGTCCAGGCGCTTGAGGTGACGCGTCTGGAAAAGAAGAATTTCTTCCGTCGGTGTACTCTTCGCTAGCTACAATTGCCGAAACTAAATCGTCATATAAAGAAGCATTTGTATATAATGTACTGACTAACTGGCGATTCGGGTTTGATTATTGCCTAAACCAGCCGCGGCTATGGTCCCAAATACCCATTCCTTTGCAATCACTTTGAACTTACCGTTTAGACAGCCGAGCAATACTACAATACTATAGTAATATTAGGACAGATGCCTTTCATGCTTCAGACGAATCTTGATGCCTTTAGCTGAAACCATCTTACAACTCATATTGTTCCTCATTTATAACAGCCTATCTTTGAATGCAAAAATTTTGTTTTCGTTTCGTTTTTTGAAAATCGAAACGCGCTTTGGTTAAGTTAGCATTCATGCACTAACTCAGTGCTCAATTTTATGATAAACTAGCACGCCGCCGCATGGGGCGGGTCTGATCGATCTGTTTTCTTGCCAGAGTTTTGCATCCGAAGATAACTAGACTAACCGCAGCATGATCTGCAGGATACATATATCCTCACCGTAGCATCTGTTGCTTCGCTATAGCAAAAGCGATCCCTTAACACGCTATAGCAGCAGGCATACTCCTCTAGCGGTGCTCTGCTACTCCTGCGTTCTTCCCACTCGCGGCGATTCAAGATCGAATGGCACATCGTGACATGCAGGCATGCAAACGGTCGGACAGATAGACTTTCATAGTGATGTTGATGTTGTCCGTCCGTACATGAGATGTTGCGGCCTAGTGCTTACAGCCAGTTTCGCCCTTTGGTATGATGAAACACGGGGTCTTCGTAGGCAGCACTGGGAACGCAAGTGATGCCGTTAGTCCAGCTCCATTCGTTCGATAGTAGAATTGGCATAGTCTGGAACGTTGATTCGAACGAGCAGAGACGAATTTACATGTAACGATCAGCTATTGCTAGTGGAGCTTATTGGGAAGATGGATAACGAACTTTTATTGTGGTACGTGGCAAATATTTTTATTTCAAAACACCTCAACATCAAAGTTGTCCGAATGAACGTTGGCTCATTCGCAGCGACATTCGGTGGCCTTTCGAACTTTTATGATAATCGATTGTAGTTTATGCCTATTTCACATAGGTTAAATTCAATCAAAAGGATAGGCTTATTTATGTTTGGTTCTTTTTACGTATTCGTTTGAATGCATGATATGAAGAATAAAGTATGAAGTGACACGGCCCTATAGATGGCGCAAAAAAAATGCGTAATACGTATGGAAGCTATACTCTAAAAATCCACCAATGCACTCTTCGTAAACCACAGATTATCACTAAACACAGGAGTAGCACCTTGTGACAAATAAGCAGTGTTAGTTGTTGAATATTCAAAAAACTGATTATTGTCTCAGTGGTAGTTAACTTTTTAGCTTATTAAGGTAGGAAGAAGCTATCTTTTATGGCTGCCCTCGCTTTGATTAAACTGTTAGGCCGGCTGCTTAGCGCCAGTTAACTAGAGATCGTGCGCAGGACATCGAGCCAGAACTTAGCCGTCTGCTGTGTAAGGGTCTGTTTATTAACTCTGCTGTCGTGCTGTGCTACATTAGCCACTCCGTTAAACAAGTGGAGACGACGACTCTGATCAGGTGCTTAGTTTATTCAAAATCTACGTCGGTATCGTCAGCAATTCTCTGTCAATCGACAAATCGTTTACGACTACCTGTCCAGCTTGCCATGAAGATAATTTGTTTAACGAGGGTGGACCAATGATACTTTTTAGACGTTTTCGTTCAGATCCTTTGATGTAATGGAGCCATATAATGTAGCAATGGCGATTTTATTCCATGAAATTTGCAATTGGCAAATGTTGGCCGGGTTATATTCTATATTAAAATGGAATCCGTGCCTCTGTGCACTGTTTTTTAGGTCAATTAGTATGTATGTTAATTAGGGAAATCGCTACGGTAAAACGGAGCTCCTTAATATTGTCCCATGTGCAGCTATGCATAGACGTTGTCTGAACTCCTCGTAACGTTTACGACTGTGTTTTCTGCCAATAGGTGCAAAATGCCTGTTTCGTCATCATCTACCCTTCGTGAGTTACTGGCAGTCCATTATAGAGGACCTGTTATATCTACAAGTAAACATGAGTGATGTCAACTAACTCTACAAGATCATTAAATCATCAGTATTTTTTGCGCGTGCCGCAAACGTGCTTTCAGAAAAGTGTTGTTCGATACCAGCTGATTTTCTTCACTCTAAGTACAATTGTTTGCTATCATCGTTTCGGCCAGGCGAAGTCGCGGCCCGGCTGCTTGAAAAATAAAACCAGTATCAAATCACATCTACATTCATGCAGGAATAAATAACATTTACTCGTTTAAATGCCTATCACGTCTGAACGTCTTGGGTGGTAACTGTAGGTTACAGTACACGGAAGCACATGGATAAGGGGGGTGCGTGAGTGTACGCAGAACTTTTTCGTCTTGCCTTGTTGTCCCCCCCCCCCCCCCGGCGTTGAGGTCGGCATTCAGCAACTCATAGGAATGGCTGGAATATATTAGAATATATACATAGTTAATGTTCGTATTGAATATGTTACGGAATAAGACAAGCGTCATTGGTTGA